GCTCACGCTGGCTGCTGGCTACATACGGTAGCCTATAGCAACCCACTGCAGCTTCACTGCAGCCCACGCCATTGCTGGCAACTCACGGCAGCCCAGCTCCAGGTTGAGCTGTTGTTCAGCATCTTAGCTGTGGAGGGCAGTGTCACTGGCCCTCATACGTGGGATCCGAACCGGGGCCCTCTGACGTCCCAAGCCAGCTCTTAACCATCGTGCCACTCGGCCGGCCCTCTTTCTTTTCTTTTCTTTTCTTTTTTTTTTTAAGATTTTTATTGGGGAATTGGGAGGAGGGGAATAGCGTTGGGGAATCGAGGAAGGGGAACAGACAGGTAGACAAATTGCTGTTTTTATTCTTCAGTCTAGTTGGGGAGGACATCGCTTCACTGGCCCATGTTGGTATGATCATTGTGCTCTTCCCGGCTGAGGCAGATCGGTTACCAGCCATTGATTGGCCGCTCACAGCGGCTCCCGGCAGCTTGCACTGGCTGCCAGCCACTCACGTAACTCATGGCAGCCCACTGCAGCCCCGCTGCAGCCTATGCGGTCGCCGGTGACTCACAGCAGCCCATCTCCAGGTCGAGCTGTTGTTCACCATCTTAGCTTTAGAGGGCGAGTGTCACTGGCCCTCAATGTGGGATCTGAACTGCAGCCCTGCTGCTCAGAGCTGACACTCCCAAGTGAGCTCTTAACCAGCTGAGCCACTCGGCCAGCTCCACATTCATTCTTACCATTCTCCAATGAGAAATCATACCAACTACTACCACCTTCATTTACACAGGATTTTGTTTTATGCTTTCAAATACATTACCTTGTTTAGAATTGTTTAATTCTAAACAAGATAATTGGCCAACCAGATGAGATCAGTAATTATTGTTTTACTGAGGAAATGTGAGGATCACAGAATTTAAGTGATCTGTCCAGAGTGAGTAGTAGTAATGCAGCTGCTCAGAATTTGGGACTCCAAGTCTTGAGCTTTTTCCATGAGAATAAATAGGTCCTATCCCAGTGAGGTTCATTACTGTGTCACAGCTCTGAAATGCTGGAACCTGAGTTCTGACTCCTCCCCCTGCTCTGTCCCTATTGCATTCAACTTTCAAGGTGCTTATATTTCTCCTTTTCAAAGTCCATTGCCCCAGATCACCACCTCTGCCTTAAACTCCTTCACTCTTAGTATCTCCATTGGCCTGCTGTCTGAGGTGTTTCTTTAGTTTTCTCATTATGTGTTAGTTTAGTTTCCCTAACTAGGCCATGAGCATCTGGCAATAGAAGATAATATCTCAAACCTCTCTATTTCTCTTGTATACTCAATGTGCCTGATATAACCAGTACAACATAGACACCAAATACCTGTGAAGTAAACCAAAGTCCGTCTATTGTTTTGTTAGGAACAGTCTGCATGTCTTAGAGTCCAAATTAAATGAGAGGACAAAGCTGATCCTTATTCTGTCACTAGAAGCTACAACTCTATCAAATTGCAGTGGATTTACTTAGGCGTCTGTATCTGGGGGTGTGTTACACAGATAAACACCTATAGCAGGAACATATGTAACAATGGTGTACCAATGTAAATAGGGTGAAGATTTAGAAAATATGCAAACCCATCTAGCCTTGTAAGAGGCTCTGGGTGTAGAATCTACTAGCACCAAGCTGCAATTTTCTCAGCTGTGAAAAAGGTTTGTTAATACTTGCCCTATAGGCCTCATAGGATAGCTGTGACTCAAACAAACTACTGTTTTAGGGCTTTGCGTCCCAAGGAAGTAATGCAAAATTGATATTCTCTTGTTTCCTTTCTATTTGGTATTTAATCTATGGCAGTGGTTCTCAAAATCTGGCAGCATCAGCATCACCTGAGAACTTGTTAGAAATGCAAATTCTCAGGCCCTATTGAATCCAGAACTGTATAGGTGGGACCCAGCAATCACTGTTTTAACAAGTCCTTTCATGTGATTCTGATACATACTAAATTCTAAGACTCACTGCTCCAGGGCAGTGGTTTTTAGCCTGGCGATTTTGGGCCTAAGAAGACATTTGGTAACATGTGGAGACAGTTTTGGTTGTCACAACTGGGGGAGGGGTGCCACTGGTGCCTGGTGGACAGGGTCCAGAAATGCTGCTAAAAATCACAGGACAGGCCCCCACAGCAAAATATCTGGCCCAAATGTCATCAGTGCTGAGGTGGAGAGAAACTACTCTAGGGTGAAGGAGAGTTTCTTTTTCTCTTTTCTCAGTGGGTTCTAAAATGTTATGTGAATAACCCAGTAAAATGTAGCCACACCATGGACGGTTTTACTTAAATAGCCTCCAGTCTCCAGATGAGACGCTAAAATGAGAATCTGAACATTTTACTTCCCTGTAATATAAGTCAGAGCAGTATGCCACAGTCTATAGCATGACTGCTCAATCCTTTTTAACCCATGTCCCACAAATCAAAAATATGTTTCCAATCTTTCTTTTCTGAGCTTGCTTTATGAAACCAAATAACAGGTTATTTTGTTTTCTGAATATAAAATCTTTTAAATATTTTTTCCTCAAGCTTTACACTCATTTCCTCCCCTCTCCATCACTTTCCACTTGAGAATCATTGTTTTAAAAGTCCAAACTCTTAGCCTGACATTCAAGGCCCTTCAAGATCTGACCCCTACAGAACCCACCCTGCTCCTTACATCTTATGCTCAGCTTCATCCTAATTGCACTGCTGCTATTTCCCCAAACCTAACTCGCTGTTTTATGCCTTTGGGCCTTAGCATGTTTTTTCTGCACAGAACGCCCTTCACATCTGTTGACCTGTTCCTTCAAAGATCAGTTCAAATGTGACTTCTTTAAATCTTTCCATGACCAACCCAGAATGTTACCTATCCCTGTGTCAACCCTTGGCCAGGAAACCTGCAGCTTTTATCACACATCATTATCATTATCTGGTAACATGGCTATCTCCTCCCACAGGATTGGCAGAGCCAGGACTGGAAGGCAGGTCTATGTGACTGGGAGTCAAGTCCTTTCCACTGCACCCCACTTCTTACGAGACAATGCAGACGTTAATCCAGATGCTCAGTAACGGCCCTTTCAACTCCCACAGTGCTGCTCTGGCTCAGGTGCTGACTAAACTAAGAAGAGACAGGGAAGCATGAACAGGACAGATCCTGGTCTGGAAGAATTCAGTGGTTATGAGGTTTAAGACAGTGGGCAGAATGAGGCTTCGTAAACTGTAAAGCAGATGAGGGGCTGTGTAGATGTGAGGGCAGTTACCATTAAGTTTGGTGAGCAGTCTAAGGTTCCTACATTTACAGGTCCCTGAGCTGAGACAGATTCATTTTTGAGGAGTCCTGCGAGGCTCCAGGGTCCAATTTGACACGAATGGACATGAAAGCCCCTATTAAACCTCCCAGAGTGGTGGTAGCAGGTGGACAAGCTATACTGCAGGTTGCCGTTGCCCGTTCACCTTATGCTCCACCATGATTTCCTGTGTCTTTTCTCAGCAGAGGGCCTCACCTGAGAGAAGTCAGGATGGAAGTACGGGAGGACAAGGGCGACGTGGTCAATGAGTTGTCACTCGGCAAGCCTGCCTCTCCCTGCTGCAGGGACTCATGAAACCGGCGGATGTTCTGCACGTGCTCTTCATGGCGTGATGCCTCGTTTCTTGCAGCACCGCTTCTGTCAGGAACAGGGCAAAAGAAATTCCTCACTAATGAGAAAGCCCCCAGTGTGACAATAAACCAATAACTCTCCTGAAATGGTATTGCAAATCCATCCCCACTACCACAGTCCTGGTTTGGATTATAATGATCTCTCAAATAATCTTGCCTTCAGTCTTACCCATTCCCCTTTAATAAATCCTCCACATTATAGCCTGAGCGATTTTTGAAAAACACGGATCTGAAATAAAGGTAACAAGAACAACACGTATGGAGTCTTCATTATATGTTAAGTACTGTTCTAAGTATTCAGCGTGTACTAACCTATCTAATCATCATTATTCCTTTCTAGCTTTGGCGTCTCATTTTTATCTAGAGAACAAATTTCAAATTCCTTAGCATGGTATTCAAGAACTTGACCCCAGCAATAATCTCCCTCCTTTTAAATAACAGCTCTATTGCGATATAATTCACATATACAATTCACTCATTTAAAGTGTACAAGTCAATGGCTTTTAGTATATTCACAAAGTTGTGCAACCATCATCACAATTAATTTTAGAACATTTTCATCATCCCCAAAAGAAACCCTATACCCATCAGCAATCACTCCACATTTCCTCCTCTCTTCCAAACCCTACCCAAACCTCCCAGCCCTAGGCACCCGTTAATCTACTTTCTGTCTCTATAGATTTGCCTAATCTGGATATTTCATATAAATGGAATCAAACAGTATGTGGTCTTTTGTGACTGGCTCCTTCCATTTAGCATAATGTTATCAAGCTTCATCCATGTTGTAGCATGTATCAGTACTTCATTCCTTCCCATGGCTGAATAGTTTTTCATTGTATAGATATATCCCATTTTATTTATGTACTCATCATTTGATGGACATTTAGTTTGTTTCTATTTTTTAGTTATTAGGAATAATAATGCTGCTACAAACTTTCATGCTCAAGTTTTTATGTGGGTGTACATTTTCATTTCTGTTGGGTCTATATACCTGGGAATGAAATTACTGAATCATATAGTTACTCTCTGTTTAACCTTTTAAGGAATTGCCAGATTGTTTTCCAAAGCAGCTGTACCATTTTAAAATTCCACCAGCCATGTATGAGGGTTCCAATTTCTCCACATCCTTATCAACACTTGTGTTAATTGTCTTTTTTTTAAAAAGATTTTATTGGGGAATTGGGGGAGGGGAACAGTGTTGGGGAATTGGGGAAGGGAACCAGCCAAGTTGTTGTTCTTCAATCTTCGTTGTGGAGGGCACCAGTCGCCATCTGGCTTCCCGTTGGCAGCTCATGGCCTCAAAGCTCAAGGTGCTGTGTTCAATCTTAGTTGCAGGTGGGCACAGCCCACCACTGAACAGGCAGTCTTGTTGTTAGGAGCACGTGCTCTCATCAGCTGGGCCATCCTGCCACCTGTTGGCAGCTCAGCAACAGCTCAGCTCGGGCGCAGTGTCACTGGCCCATGTGGAAATCGAACCGGCGGCCCTGTTGCTCAGAGCTCACACTCTTAATCAACTGAGCCACTTGGCCAGCCCCTGTCATTTTGATTATAGCCATTCTAGTAGGTGTGATGCTGTGTCTCATTATGGTTTTCATGTACATTTCCCTGCTGGCTAATGATGTCAAGTATGTTTTCATGTGCTATTAGCCATTTGTATATCTTTTTTGGAGATATCTATGTCTAGTCAGATCATTTGCCCATTTTTAATTGAGTTGTTTGCTTTTTATTATTGAACTGTAAGAATTGTTTATATATTCTGGATACATTTCCCTTATCAGATCTATGACTTGCAAATATTTTCTCCCATTCTGTGGATTGTCTTTTTACTTTCTGAGGGTGTTGTTTGTAGCATAAAAGTTTTTAATTGTGGAAATTCTATTTATTTTTCTTTTGTTGCTTCTGTGTTTGGTGTCACATCTATGAAATCACCGCTAATCCGTGGTCATGAAGATTTACTCTGTTTTCTCTTAATTTTTATAGTTTTATCTCTTAAACTTAGATTTATAATCCACTTAATTTAAAATCCAGTTAATTTTTGTATATGGTGTGAGGAAGGGGTCCAACTTCAATTTTTTGCATGTGGATATCCAGTTGTTCCAGCACCATTTGTTGAAAAGACTATTTTCTCCTCATTAAATCATCTTGGCATCTTTGATATCTTGGCATCCTTGGCACATGGGTTTATTTCTGGACTGTCAATACTATTCCACTGATGTATATTTCTATCCTTATGCCAGTACTATACTGTGTTGTTTACTGTACATTTGTAGTAAGTTTTGAAATCAAGAACTTTGTTCTTCTTTTTCAAGGCTGTTTCGCCTATTCTGTGTCCCTTGAATTTCCATAGGAATTTTAGGACTAGCTTGCCCATTTCCATAAAGAATCCAGCAAGTGTTTGTGTTGAATCTGTAGATCAATTTGGGAAGTACTGCCATTTTAACAATATTAAGTCTTTAACAATATTAAGTCTTCTAATTCATGAACATGGTATGTATTTCCATTTCACACACTTCCACTCTCTGACTCCATTTCTTCCCATCATCAAGAAATCACTCACCTCCCAGGAGAGGAGAAATGAAGCTCCTTTGATGAGGTGTGAGCAAGTTGTTCAGGGGTCTGTCTTGCCATGTAGCTGGGGAATGCAGCATACATATCAGAGACAGGGAAAGAAAATGGACCGTATATTGGGATCTGTAGAAACAAGGAGAAAAATGGTACATTTGTCACCACAAATCCTTTTGGAACAAAGCAGTAGAAATAAATTTGTAAAATTTATTGTATGTATATAAATGTATTTTACTGAGTATTTTTTCAGTATAATTATCTCAGTATATACCTCATATAGTTTACTGAGCATGTGTTGAACACTGTACTAAGCAATTTATATGCATTTTCTCACTTAAACTTCACAATAATCTTATGAGGTAGATACTAATATTATCCCTGTTTTATACATTATGCTATCAAATTGCTTTGTATTGCTTTATCTGTATTTATGCTCTTATTCCTCTAGCTAGTCTGTGAACTCCTGGTTGCATATCATTTTACATATACTTTACACATGAGGGTAATCTAGCTGTGATATATATTTCTTGTCTCATGACCATCTACCAGGGTTGATGTGAAGAAAAGACCTTCCTACATAGGGACCACTTAACTCTTTGGTATTTTCTCATGTATTCATTCATCCAAAATTTACTGATGCTGACTGCTCGACCCTGGGCTAGGCATGTGGGATAAGAGAGATGAAAAAAACAGTCTTCGCCTTGAAGAGCTCCCCTATCTGGGATAGTATGGAAAATTCACCTATCCTTTAAACTCCTTGAAAGAGTTGTCTATACTTACTATCATCAATTCCCCTCTTCCCATTCTCTCTCTTTTAGTTGTTTTTAATGATAGACCTTTGATTTTAATGTAACAGTTTTTAAAAAGTTCAACCAATTAATATAGTTTCAGATTCCACACTGCAATTGATCTTATTTGAGATATATTTATTCCATATATATATATATATATAATTTAAATTGAGATATAATTCATGCATTATAAAGTCCACCCTTTCAAAGTGTTTAATTCAGTGGTTTTCATACCTTCAGAGTGTGCATCCATCACCACTGTGTAATTCCAGAACATTTTTATTACCTCGAAAAGGTCATGAGACAAATATACAATGTGTTCTGTAAGCTAGAAAGTACCAAACACATGTAAAGGATTTTCTTATAGGTTTTGTTCAGTAGAACCCTTATTGACTAAGGTTGTGAATGAGGATACATACCAGTGATCCTGGGGTCTCTACCCCACGTCTTGTTTGCCTTTCTTCTTTGAAGTGCATCAAACTCTCCAAAGGGGAGATAGCAACTTTTATCTGCCCCTGGCACTCTCCACTGAAGTCTGTGATGTTGTACCAACCACAGACAAACTGGAAGCCAGAGAGAAGCGGGGAGAGATCCACTGAGGCAAAGCCAATCACCCTCTCCTCATCTGTAGGGGAAAGAGATAAGCTGGGCAGTGTGGCTGGGCATGTCCTGCCACTGAGATTGGAGGCTACATACAGAAAAAACGACTCAGGGGGCTGGGAGGTTCAGTGATTCCAAAATCAACAGAAAAGACAGACAGATAATGAGGATGAGAGAGACAGCAACCACAGCCCGATTTCACTATCATAAATTCCCTTTGCGAATGGCAGGGAAAAGATGGCAAGCAACTAGAAAACACCCCTTAAACAAAACACTTTTCCCTAGGTTATCATGTGTCCATGATTTTCCTCAGGGTAGTGGGTCTTGAAAGAAATCATTTGAAAGACCATCACTCTTGGAATTATGAGGGATTTACATTTTCCCTTTTATACTTGCTATATTTTCAAAAATTTCTATAATATAAATATGTATTATATTTAATTAAAAACAAAAATGACACAAATTACAAAAGAAAGACAAATAACTCCCAGGAAAACTAGTACAGGGTGCAAAATGAGCTTGGGCTCTGGCTTGGAAGGGGGCTGCCCTGCATGACTGAGAAGACCCTTTCTTGGCTGGACAAGCTACCGTGCAAGGACCTTTGTTCTCAGGCTCAATGCTTCTCATTCCTCATTTCTGACATGAAAGTAGCTGGGGAAAAACAGGCCCCTGACCCTCCACAAGTTCTTATTTTATATAGGCTCCATCCCCTATGCTGAATAGCAAAGGCTGACTCTACCAAAGATGGACACGATTCTTAGTTTTCAAATTGCTAAATAAATCAAAGAATGCAAATTTCCAAAAGGAGAGGTCGTGAGTTTCCCAGTTTCTTGTGCACACTGCTGATGACACTGAACTCATCACACACTATCTAACATTTGTTTACACAGCTTGCTCTTTTTTAGACTGGGACCTACCAAACAGCTGAGACTAGGTATTACTCACTTTATGTGGCATAACAGCTTCCCACATCATGAAGAACTTGACACTCACTGAGGGAGTGAGTGAGATGGCCAGTGCAGCCTGAGACAAAGAAGCAGTGTGCCACAACAGCACATCTGAACATGGCTTTGACTTGAAAACACATTCCTCTTACTCCCTGAGCCTCAAGTCTCAAATACCTATATAATGAGAAGTACTGAACCCGATTTAAGAGCCTCTTCAACTTGGACAGTCTTATATTCTGGAAATGCTTGAAGCTGTGTTCCCTGGAGTAGATAATTCATACCTACTAGAGATGGAGAACGATGGCTAAAGCCATTAATCTGCACTCCAAAGATTTGTTATAGCTTTGCAAAGAAAACTAATCTTGCTTTATTTGGTTATTGGAGATGTAGCCTGTTCTTGATATACGAGTACTCTAAATTTAGGTCTAGGTAACCCTACTTTGAGGGCTTTGCCTAACATGATAGCACTACATCCTAAACGTACTGAATTCTGGCTAAGTCGATCACTGAGAAAAACACTGGCTTTGAAGACTCAAATTTAACATCATATTTAGCAAGATGACCCACCATTCTCCCTTTGCAGGTCTGGTGATCTTGAACTTCCCTCACTGTCTTTCCTCTAGGCTTTTGTATTTGCTGTTCCCTCTGACTGTAGTATGTCCTGGCCCTTCATTTCTCAGTTGAGTATGCATGTTCCAGGAAGCCTTCTCTGACATCCTAAGTCTAGGTTAGAGGCCCCCTACCAGAGTACCCTGTATTTGTCTAATCATATTATAGTGTTAGACTGTAAGCTCCGTGAGGACAGAGACCCTGTCTGTCTTATTTGACCTTTGAATCCCTAGCACTTAGCATAGTGCCTGGTACAGAGTAGGAACTCAGACATTTGCTGAACAGATTGATCTGGTTTGAGTACCTTTTGCAACAGGTTCGCTGAATCTGTGTGGCAAGAATGGAGTTAAGGAGAGGCATCTATATACACTGAGAGATAGTTTGGTCTAGGCCTCTTCCTCATCTCCATATACAACAGTGTCCTTTTAGGACTCTCTAGGGCCCCTGGAAGGTAGGGAATGTATTTTTATTCTTCTCTATACCCAACAGCCCTAGCACAGTACCTGACACATAGCAGGCACAGTGATAAAAACAGCTCCATCTATTAAGCACCAAGCATTTGCCAAGTACATTATATATATATATATATTATCTCCAATCCTTACAAAAACCCTGTAGAGCAGGTACTATTAACCTAATTTTATAAGTAAGGAAATAAAGGCTCAGAGGTAAAGTGATTTATCTCAGGTCACAGTTTGTAAACAGTAGAGCCAAGGTTTCTATTCAGGTCTACATCAGGCCAAAGCTGCTTCTTTCCTTCCTGCTAAAGTAAGTACTGAATTAAGGTGTACCCTGGTCTGCTTTACAATCTCTGAAATATGTTAGAGAGAAGAGAAGAATAGAAAGCAAGACAGGAGTGTGGAGCCTAACTCAATAAAGCAGGAATTCCCAGTGTTAAGTCAGAGACAGCTGATTTATGATCAGCTCCTGTTGAACTTATGAGGCTGGGCAGAGGTGAACCCGAGGCAGCAGCACGGGAGGCAGGAATCATCAAAACCAGATCCCCAGCATCATTCCCGCAAAGGAGCACAGGAGCAGAGACAGGTAAGTGATTTCCTTTACACCCTGACTACTTTCAGGTCTTATGAGGCTTTGGGGTTAGCTCTAAAACTTACCAGTGGCAAACAAAAACTGTCATGCTGTAGGTGACTCAAAACAACTAAAGGTTTGGAAACCAGGCCCTAGCAGGAAATCTCAAAGGAGCTAGATTTACAGGAGGTATTTAGTGAGACAAAATTTTCTAAGTAGAGGAACTATGAGATGGTTGGATGTCCTCACCACCTTAGTTGTCTGAGTCATTCAGTCTTACCAGCATGGTGAGGTACAGATGGTGAAGGCTATATAGCCAGTCAGAACTGGATTGAATTCTAGCTCCATCAATTAATAGGTATATGATCTTAGTCAAGCCACTAAACTTCCTTGGGCCTCAGCTTTTACGTCTATAAAACTGAATTAATTATATTTTTACCTTACAGGATTAGTAATGTTTGTACAGCTCTTAGCAAGCACAGTGCCATTCACTAATAAAAACAAAAACTGAGATGGTATTTATTAAGTATCAGGCATTCATTTAATTCTCCCAAAACCCTGTGAGGTAGGATTATTATTATCTCTATTTTATAGCTAAGGAAACTGAAGCACAGAGAAGTTATTCACCCAAGGTCATGTTACCTTGTAAGGGGCACAACTGGTATTTGAATTTAAAGATTATGGCTTCAGAGTCTGCGCTCTTAACGTTGTTGTATTACACCTCTTAATAAATGGTAGCTGATTAGGACTAGGTTCAAGGACCATGATGTCAGCACCTCTGTCCTGGAAAGTTTCTTCAAACAAGGGAGGACAAGCTGTCAGACTCCCATCTTGTGTACTACTTGAAACTGCTAGGGTCTCGGTTAATAAGCCAGAGTTAACAGAAGGCATAACATCGTACAAAAGGGGGACAATCTCTTGTGTATGGCAGGCTGTGCATTATGATAGTTGAGATCCAACTGGAAAGATTCACATGTTCTGGGATTTCTGCACTAAGCATGTAGTCAAACAGAATGATATGATTCCTAAGGATAGACGTTCCAGTGGTATTCTGTGGCATTCCCTCTAATATATACATGCATTCTCAGCACCATCAGTGCCATTGCTTCACTTGGTTAAAAAAAAGGAAAGGATTAGAAAACTGTCAACAAGGTGTGAGCTTATTTTTCCAACAAGATAGATATTCATAGAATAGAGTTCATACCTCCTTTATGCCAAACTTTGAAGACCAGAGTTTTCTGTGGGTCCAAAAGAAGCTCTTTTGAAAGCCTATTAAGAAAAACAACCACCATAAATTAACTGTACAGGAAGCTTCTAAGTATGAAACTTAGATTTAAAGAATATCTTGTAGTTAGCAGAGCACTTTCCTAACGCTTTCATGGTCATCTCTAGGATATATTTTTATTTCCACAGTTAAAGGAGGAAATGGAAGCTCAGAGAGGTGAAGAAACTTGCCAAGTCTTGAAAACAAACTCCCCTGATGCAGTACTCTCCTCCTCAGTAGCCGCTGCCACATTCAAACTCTGTTTCTTAAGACAAAGGCAGGAGTGTGGAAAGGGAGGTCCTCAACATGTAATGAACAGTTTTATTGGAGCAGGTAAGGATTCTTTGTGAGCCATGGGGGTGGGGGGATGGTAAGAAGCATGGAAGTGGTAGAAAAAGAACATTTACTGAGTGCCTACTTTGGGCCAGGCATGGGGTCAAGTGTTCTATATACTTGTAATCTGCACAAAACCTGTAACATGGGCATTCTCATCCCTGTTTTACAGATGATGAAGCTGGGCTCGGAGAGTTGAAGTGATTTGTTCAAGGTCACATAAGTGTCAGTAAGTGGGAGAGCGGGAATTTGAACCCCAGTTTGCCTGACTCCAAAGCCACTTTGCAGAGGCAAGGCATCAAAATAAGCAAGTGCCCAAGCTTTATGCCAGATAAAGAAGTTGATGTGGAATCCACTCAGCACCTCTGATACATTTTATATGACAAGAATTACAGTTTTGAGTTACAAAGATTTGGAAAGTTCCAAACCAGGTACCACTATCCCAGGTGAGCAAGATGGAGAATGAAGGTAAATCAAGAGATTTAATTTCCTTCCCCAGATACCATGGGGGAATTGAAGAGAGCCTACTTCAAGTCCAATGAGAGGCCTTGTGCTAAAGTGAAACAAATGCTGAGTCAGAGTTTTGAATTCTAGCCGGGGGTCAAATACCTAACTTTGAATTCCAGTTCTACTACTGTCACCTGAGTGACCCTGAGCCTGGTTTTCTTACCTATCAAATCAGAGAATATTATCTACCTACAAGGTTGCTAGGAGAATAAAATAAAACACTTTTGTGATAAAGGAATGATAAACAGTACCATTATTCATTTTTCCTCTAATCTTGCCTCTGCTATCTACAGGTTATGTAACCTCCCTGGGCTCCAGTCTTCTTAACTGTAACATGATTGACAAGACTCAACCTCTGATTTTTTGAGCCTTCCAGAGGAGATCTAACATTTGTTGTGTATCTGATATGCATCATGAGATAATTTTCTTAAATGCCATCTAATTTGGACCTCACAATAACCCTGTGATTTACCCTACTTAACACATGCGGAATCTGAGGCTCAGAGATGTTATGTAACTTGTTCACACAGCTAGCAAATGATAGAGATGGGGTTGGAGGCCAAGCCTCTTTAATTCCAAAGGCCAGCCTCTTCCCACTGCACCAGGAATCTTTTCTAAGGGTGTACAATCCATAACCTTTCCTGAGATTACCTTTCTCTGTGTTCTTCACCTAGATGACTTACATATATTCTTCCACACTTAGCTGAGGTATCCTATTTAAGAAGCCTTCCCTGAACTTCCAGCTCTCTTCTTCTAAGAATATGAAGCCCAGGGCAGCATATGCCACTCTATGTAATTTTAAAATTTATCTTAATCATCATATACATCCCACTCTGTTCTGGGCACTGGGGATTAAAGATGATTAAGGTTCTCAATGAATAATTTTTGAGCTGTAGTGAGAAGAGTTAAAAAATACCACAGTAAAATCATTATACCACTGCTAGCTGTGAATTTATAAGCACTAGGATTAAGTAATTGTTTGATAAAAACATTTTCCAGGTCTGCTCAGTATTATTGTGTCTGTTATAATCCCCGCTCTGAGTCTGTCTCTTGGAACAAAAATCAGATTCTGGAAGGCTGATGTAACATCATAAAATACAAACCTTGATTGCTGTTGAAAATTCCAGATGGGGGAATCTGTTTTTTCAACCACTTGGGTGTAGACAGGAGATGGCTCATCAGCTGTTGCAAAAGATACACAACAACTGGGTGTTGATACTTTCCGCTCTGTCAAGGGGGTCCCTGAAATAGAACAGAGTGGAGTGACTATACTTCAGGGAACCAAAAAGGATGTGTTGGAAGCCTTCCATTGGACAGGTATAGCAGGACCATTCCTAGCTCTCTCCTACCTTTGGGTCTTTGCTTGAGCTATTCCCTGTATCTGAAATGTTTCCAGTCCTTTCTGTACTGAAACTGTCTTACCGAAGCTTAGTTCATAAATATACCCTAGACAAGAAATGACATCTCCCATCTCCTTGTACTTTATGTGATGATGGGAAACACTGGATTGAGAAACAAAAGATAGATTGCAAAAAACCCTAGATTTAAGAGTCAGATGATCAATTATCAGCTCTGCTATATATATAGTGTGTGTCCTTGGGAAAGGCCTATCTAGGCCACGGCTTCCTCAAATAGGGCATATGGTACTAACACCTCCTAAGATGTTAAAAATAAATAATAATAGTAGGTAACGCTTACAATATATCACTTATTATGTGCCAGGTACTGTCCTAAGTACTATACATATATTAACTCCTTTAATCCTTACAACAACCCTATGAGGCAGTTATTATTATTATTCCTATTATATAGATGAAAAAAACTGGGGTTCAGAGAGATCAAACATTCATTAAGTAGACACACATTTATTAAATGGTAGAACTCAATCATTCTGGCTCTAGAGTCCAAGCTTCCAGCCATCAACTATATTGCCTCTACTATACCAGAGTTAACAAATGTAAAACATAGAGTACTGTGCTGTTAATTTTTATAAGATCAAATTTCCAATGTGGGAGACTCAGTCATTTATTCTCTCTTAAAACAATGTAAAATGAAGATAGTTGATGATATTAGTCTAAGTGAGCTATCCAAGAAGATAACCACTAGCCACATGTGGCTATTTAATGAAAATAAAATAAGATTAAAAATTCAGTTGCTGGGCCAGCCGAGTGGCACGTTGGTTAAGAGTTGGCTTGGGACACCAGCTCTGAGCAGCAGGGCCCCGGTTCGGATCCCACATGTGGGCCAATGACACTGCACCCTCTACAGCTAAGATGGTGAACAACAGCTTGACCTGGAGCTGGGCTGCCATGAGTCGCTGTTGACGGCGTAGGCTGCAGTGGGGATGGCCAGCAGCTAGCGTGAGCTGCCGTTAACGGCCATCCAATGGCCGGTGAGCGACTGCCTCACCTAGGAAGAGTGCAATGATAATACCAACATGGGCCAGTGAAGCGACGTCCTCCACAATTAGACTGAAGAATAAAAGGACAGCAACTTGTCTGTTCCCCTCCCCTAAGTCCCCAATAAAATCTTATAAAAAAAAAAATTTCAGTTCCTTAGTTGTACTAGCCACATTTCAAATGCTCCAACAGCCACATATGACTAGTGGCTGCCATACTGGACAGTAAAGATAGAAAACATTTCCGTCAAGTACAAAGTTCTTTTGGACAGTGCTGAATAATAGACTTTACATAATATAGCCTATATATTCCATAAGATCCCTGTCAGCTCTAAAATGAATGAATCTGATTTACAGATGGAGGAAAGAGAAAAGAACAGGAGAAAATAAATATGTCTTAACATTACTTATGTGATCCAGAGGAATAAATTCTGTACGTGGATTCTAACTGATTTGTCTTCTTTCTACCTGTCTAGCTCAACGTTTCTCCAAATCCATACTACCAACTTCACCTTGTAGGTGAAGTTAATATCTGAGGCTCCATTCCAATGCTTCTCTACCTGGCTGCTCCTTTCAGTAACTACTTTTCCAAAGACGTCAAGCTATTCTGTGGACAGAAAGTAATCTGAGGAAACAGTTCATACTCAGGAACTGCTGATTTTAACCCCCTGCACAAGCAGTGTAACATTTAATAAGTAGCCTTTAGAAGATAGACTGGAGCACCATCTACTCTCAGGGGCCTGTCTTGACTCTTCAGAATCACTGAACTTCATGTCCCCAGTTAGATCTCTCCAACTTCAGCTTTCTTTTAGGAAAACAAAAGTACCTGCAACTTTGCTTTGATATATTTTCCTTGACCAAAACAATTTCCAATAGAGTAGACCAATTATTTTGAAACTTTCCCACCAAAGTAACAATAATCCAAAGAAAACACTAAAGTCTGTAGAGTGTTGGGTTTCTGCTGCCTTGAAAGAGCAACAATAAGCATGACATCTATTAGCAGGCTTGTTATTTTATCTAAAAATTCATGAGGATTTTATATTATCTTCTATCATACAGCCCTATTTGTTTAAACTAAAAACAATTATTTTTTCCTCGAATCTTGTAAAAAAAATGGACATACCTTGCTATTTAACCTTTGACTTCTAATACCTAACAGCACCAAACCAGGCCAGATGGCATATTTTTTAGTCCATCTTCCTGGGGCTAATTAATAAAGAAAGAAAGTGGGTGACGAGGAGAGAAAAGGGAATGGAGATTTTGCAAGGAGGCCTTGGGAACAAGAACTGAAAAGGAAGAAGAGGAATGCTAGCTTTAGAAATGAGATCTGGTAGCGTCTGTGGAAGGAGCTGGAGGCATGTGTAAGAGTTGCCAACAAGGCAGGACATGGGGAAAGGTTCTTAGAAATGGAAAAGCACTAAAGACACAGGGAGGAAGTGTATGAGGAACAAAATAGAGCAAAAAAGCCACTGGCTATAACTTGGCAAAACAGTTTACAAGCATATTCTTGAAAGAGCAGGAAAAAATTATTCTAATAAAATGGTAGTAAGCAAAGAATAGTTAATGGAAATTGGTAATACAGTACCCATTATTATAAATGTAAAATGTATAGATTAGCACTAAGAGTGCCTTTACCTAGTGAGCTATCTTCTTAAAATAAAACTTCTTAGTTTTATGTTAGTGAAACTAAATAGTATATGTGGACTGACTTGCGCAGCATCAACCCCTACCTACTTTTACTGTTATTATATTCTTCTACTGTAAAGGTTGAAAGGGTTAACAACTACATTTCCCAGATTCCCTTACAGCTAGAGTATGGATACAAATTGGCCTCTATCAATGAGATGCCATTATAACAGATTTGGAAGGCAGACATGAGGCAGAGGACATCTTCCTTTTTTCTTCTGTTTTTGCTACTAGCAAGGATGACACTGAATTTTCTGCTCCAGGATTTTGTCCCTGGGTGCCCAGAGGTCCTATGGTAATAGGGATGAGGAGAGTTTTGGCATTGTATTCTGAACTTCAAAGATCTGTGGTTAAGCTTAGCCTAAAGCCCACTCCTCTAGCCCTTCCAATGACTTGAAGTACCTTCATATTCTATATTAAACTCCTTTCTGTTTAAGATGGCTAGAGTAGATTACTTCTTGTAACTGGACTCTCGCTGACACAGCTTTCATTTCTGTCTTCTTATTCCACTTTCATTAGTAGGTTTCAAGCTTTTCAACTGATTTCTTCCAATAAAATGTCACAAATCTTCACAGCTTGGGAGAGATCATTAATCTGCCTTTATGCTGGCAGTTTTTACAGCACCCTATAATACTCTGCATGTCTGTTTCCCTCACTCGACTGTGAGCTCCTTGAATGCACAGAGTAGGCTCAAGGCCCTTGCTAAAGGTCTGCAGACTCCCCACTGCCCTTTGTCTATAGATGGTTGTAGGGTTAGAGAGAAAGAGAAGCTTCCTTGTCTGCCTGTCGTGTGCACCAGCAGAGGATGGCAACATCTGCTCAGGAAAGTTCTGAGAGGGATCAGCAGATAGGGCAAACTGAAGTTCTGAGATGCAGGACCCCTAGGTTCTGTTGTACTCTTAGACAATCTTAGAGATGATCTTGTATAACCATCACATTTTACAGCTGAGAAAAAGGGGAATGGGTTTTCCCAAAGTAACAAATCAAGCTAATGGCTCAGCTAGGGCTAGAACTCAGTCTTCTGACTCTCATTCCAGAACTCTTTCTATTACTTCATCATTTGGAGGGCACATTTCAGAGAGATGATGGGCAGGTATGTACTCTCAGGTCTAGCACAGAGCCTGACCGACACATAGATGTTTGTGGGAGGAAGGACTACATGGGCTTATTACTGCAAGGGTGGTATTCAGGATACAACAGAAGCCTCTGAAAGTCAAGATGTCCACCTGATGCTTGCTTTGACCCGGCCAATGTACAGAAAGAAGCCAAACAACAAGTGGTTAACAGATTTGTAACTCAGGCCAGAAATGTGTTAAGTACCAAATCCACAATCCAGAGGACATTACGTTTGTTTAGCTGCATCGTGAAGATCAAGGTGCTAGGATACAGAAATAAACAACATACAATCCTTGTCCCCAAGGAACAGAGCCTAGTGGAGAGACACCCTGACATTTTCAGTGCAGAGCAATAAATGCTATGAAGGAGGAAAACTGTGTGGGGGTGGTGATATGGGGAAGTGCTGACAACACAGCGGGAGGGTTTCTGCTAATAGGGATGGTCAGGGGGCTTTAAAATACTGCAGTCACTTTAGTCAATTCTTGAAGGATGAGGAGCACATTTACTGAATAAGAGAGGAAAAAGCATTCTAGACAAAGGAAATAGCACAGTCAAAAGCTTGGTGGTATGAGAGAGAGGGGGCATTGGCAAAAAGCAAACAGCTGAATCTAAGAGATGGTGAGAGATGAGGCTGAAAAACCTGATTAGGCCACATGGGTGGCACTTTGTGTGCTGTTACCAGGACTGTAGGTGATACGAAGCCAACGAAGTATTTTAAGTGGGGAGAGGTCAGACTTTTTGACCAGACATGTAAGCTCCATGGCAGAATGAAAAGGATATTGAAAGACTATTGGAAGCAGCAACCATTGAGAGGGCCATCTCACCAGTCCAAGTTTCTGAGGCCTGAACAAGCAAGGTGACAGTGAGAATGGCAAGAAGGTGACAGGAACTTTCTAAGAGGCCAGGATCCTATACTCTGTATTGGACACAATGTGAACTTAATAAAAAAAAAAAAATCCTTGTGACTTTTGTTAAACTCTCCATAAGCAACTTGCCCTTAGGAGAGGCGGCGTAGGAAATCAGAGACGGCATTAAGGAGAAGATGGAGTTTGAGCAAGGCCTCAGATTCATCCACTCTTCATTTAACAAATATGTACCACTTATTACGTATCAGATATAGTTCTTATGTTGGGAATTCAGCAGTAAATAAAATTAAACAAACGAAAATCCCTATCTCTGTGGGGCTTATGTTTGTCTAAGACAGGCAGAAAATACACAAAAATACACTGTTCGAGGCTACAGACAAAAATAAAAAAAGCAGAAAAGAGGAGTAGAAAATGTTGGAGAAGGGCTGCAGTTTTAGATGGGTGGCCAAGGAAGGCCTCACTGAGACGAAATGATTTCAGTAAAAACATGCCAGAAGTGAAAAATACTCCAGGCTGAGGAACATAGATTCAAAGACCCCAAGGCAGGGGTCTGCCTATACATTCAAGAAAAGGAGGGCTGGCGAATGAAGAGAGTAGGAATGCCAGTGGAGTGGGTGGAGCTTTGAAGCTGGGGAACAGAGAAAGGAATCCAGGTTTAGAAAGGTGCATGAGCTAAGGCCCAGGGAATTGCTTGTTGCTTGTTATGGTAGGAAGGGAAAGGAAGCCAAGCACTGCTAGAGAAAAGTCACCACTGCTGTTCACAGCCATCTAACATCATGTCAATCAGTCTTCATCAAGCCCTTGCTGCTGTTCAGCATTTTCTTATTTATCTCTTTATGATACGCTATAGCACCCTTGCAATGACCTTGAGTTCCAGCCAAAGAACATCAATTGCTATCAGATCCTCCACATCCCCTCCAAGCAAGCCCAGATCATGCAGTTTCTTACTTCAACAGCTTTGTTCAAGCTGAAATATCCACTCGGAATTCCATTCCCACCTTTCTGAAATCCTATTCACTCTTAAAAGCTCTCCTGATTTCTTAGACATCTGATTTCTCTGTTTCTAAACTCTGTGAACACTATAAATTACATTACCCTTTGGACCTCAGAGTATTCTGCTTCATATATCATTAACTGTGTACTTACTAATCCTCTTAACCCGGTTATCAGCTCTTGGAGGACAAAAACTATGTGTCATCTGCTCAGCACTCTCTGTACCTGGCACTGGCCCCACACAGATTTACTACCATTCTAACAACGTAATCACAGGACTGGGTGCGATACATGCCCAACCTGGGCCTGAATGACTGGTAAACACACAGTGTAGACAGTCCAAACTGGCAAACACAGACGCATTTCATATCTGAGAGGCAGGATGGTGTAAAGGAAAGAGCACGGGCTTTAGGTCGACCTAACTGGCTTCAAATTCTGGCTTTGCAGAGCTTATTAACTGTATGACTCACGTCACTTTCCTTTTTTTTTTTTAAAGATTTTTATTGGGGAATTGGGGGAAGGGGAACAGACAAGTTGCTGTCCTTTTGTTCTTCAGTCTAGTTGTGGAGGATGTTGCTTCACTGGCCCAATTTGGCACCATCATTGCGCTCTTCCTGGGTGAGGCAGATCAGTCGCCGACTTCTGGACGGCTGCACACGGCGGCTGCTGGCTGCTGGCTACACACAGTAGCCCATGGCAACCCACTGCCACAGGGGCTGCAGCCTAAGCCGACACCGGCGATTCACGGCAGCCCAGCTCCAGGTTGAGCTGTCATTCAGCATCTTAGCTGTAGAGGTCACTGGTCCTCATATGTGGGATCCGAAATGGGGCCCTCTGGCGTCCCAAGCCAGCTCTTAACCAATGAGCCACTCGGCCGGCCCTCACTTTCCCTTTTTGAGCTTCAATTTCCTCGTTTATAAAATGGGTATGTACTGAAATCTATTCATACCATAACCCCACTTGTCATAAGGATTACATGAAATAATTAACGTACAAAAATGAAAATAGAACTTGGTACAAGGGTATGCGCAATAGATGACTGTCAAATTACCTTGCCAAGTTATATTTTAAAAAAAGGAAACTCACCGTCTAATTGAAAAGTTACAAGTACATTTCGCTTTTTGTAATATGGAGACTCCCCTGAAAATGGGATGTAAACCATATTTTTGTATATTAAATTTTATTTTCAATGCAATAAAACAAAAGAATTCTTATAAAAAATCAAAGCTTTTATGTACTTTCCTTAAATTCATTCATCTATTGATTTTTCTCTTTTAAAAAAAATCAGTTTTTATATATCAAGTTGTCAAAAATAGGCTGTTCTGGGGGGGGCAGTAAAAAAGCAAAAACTGTTTCCCAATTTTGTTACTCATTCAGGATCTCAGTATCTTTAATATAGCAAAGCAAGACTGTACTTGGAGAAGAGCTTGTCCTGAGATAAAATGCTTCAAGGCCTCTGATACACAAAGATTACTGAAACCTCTGGATTCATAAGGCTATGGTTTCTGGCTCTCAGAGCCATCATATATCTCAGAACTGGTAAGCTCAGCCATTTATAAATGAGAACTTCAAGATACAGAGAGAGACAATAACTTGGTCAAAGTCACAAACACACAACATATTGGCTGGAAATACAGAGCTGAATATACTCTTACTAGAATGTAAGCTTCACAAGAGCATGATTTCCATCTGTTTTGTTCATTACCTTATCCCCAGCACCACGGACAGTGCTTGTACATAGCAAATACTACAAGTTTTGTCGCTGAATGAATGAAAGAATGAATGAATGAATGAATAAGAAAAGCTTAAACAGCTTGTATCTAGTGGAGAAGAAAACCATGCAAAAAATTTTAGTATTGTGGGCGACTTATATGTCAAGGAAACTCTCTGGTAAATGGCAATGCTTGAGTTGTGTCTTAAGAGAAGCATTAGAATTAGCCAGGCTTTAAGAGAGATGAGTAATGGCAAAGGGAAAATTTTAGGAGCAATTACAAAGCTGAGTAAAAGTAGCACAAGGATTCTTTCTGCCATGGACCGTTTTGGCTGCCTGGTGAGGTCTATAGGCCTCTTCTTTTAACAGTGCTTTTTTTTTTTTTTAATTCATAATGTAAAATCCACAGGATTACATAAAAATCAAATTATTATTGCAATACTAAGAAAACTTTGTGATATGGTAATATATGTGCTTTAATAATGTATAAGAAGATCTGACTGTAGGTTTAATAACTACTGAATTTTGAAATAATAGGTATAAATAATTTTCTAAGAATCTGCAATAACTACAATGAGATATGAAAATACCTGTGATTTCTATTATTCACAACTTCACAGGAACTGTTAATATTACTGGGGTCTATTGCCTACGTTCACAATTGGAGGAAATGTTAAACTTTAAAGGTTAATAAAAGTAAGATGTAATTATTTTCCTATCCAGTTCACCAACCCTGATTTTAATCCTCGGAGCCCTTGGGAGTTTTATAGATCCCACGTTAAGATATCTTGGCCCTAGCTGCATAATGAGGCCTGAGTTGGTAGCAATGGAAACGAAGGAAGAGATCTAAGAGAAATTTGAGAGAATAATTTAATGAATCTGATAGTTTGATGGTAAATAAGCAAAAGAGAAGTGTCTGAGCTGATACTCAGGTTTCTGGACTGGGAAATTTATGATATGCCAAATTAGGATAACTGACAGGGTCCACTTAAGTTCGGCAAGGCTTTCATGTTGCTTAAACCTTTAGGCTTTACAAATAGAATAATTATTGTTACCAGTTCTTGCAGATCCTGCCATGATCTGAAAGATCTGTGAAGATAGGACCATAGCCTGAAGAGTCAGATATATATTTCTGGATAAGTGAGCAGAGCATACCTTTCAAGCTCAAGTGCATTGCTCTTTCCACCAGGATACTGACTGCAAACGTTCCATCCAACTCAGCAGGGCCCTCCTGGGCCGGAGAGGATTCGGCTGTGGTGCTATGGCAGGGGACCTGGGCGGAGGCAGGAGACTTCTGGTGGCCAGGTGGTAGAGAGAGCTGAATCTCATCATTCCTTCTGGGGAGCTGCTCAGACTCACTGTGGCTACTGCAGTCCATTGAGTCCAGCTCATGAGTGGGCTCAGGATGTAGGGAAAGAGGGGAAAGAACCACATGAACTCGCAAGGCAGCTCCTGAGAGGTTGGAAGCATTTCGTCCAAATAGAGGATACACACCTGCAAAAGGATGGAGGAGAATAAGCCAAGCAAGCAGGAACCAAGAACACTCTCAAACCTTGGAGAAGACATGCACTGGGGGGTGCTTGTGGCCCTCTCTGTTTGGGTAGGCCTACGGGCCCCAATATACCAATTTGCAAAAAAACGTGCAAAGTTAGTATATAGTGTGAAAATTTTTACTCCCCCTCCCCCAAATACACACTTTCTCCAATAATGGAAAGTAGTGACAGCTCTAATTTGAAGCCAAAGCCAAATGACTATCAGGCAGAGTTACTGTGGAAGGGATTTAAATGCTGAGGGGCAACCAGACTCAGATGGCTTCCGAAGCCCCTTCGAAGTCCAATATTTTTATGAAATCAGGAGGGGCTTGTCTTCTTTTCCACATGTCCCACTGACTCTCGTTCTTAGGCTTTCTCCTCATCAGGAAGCTGCCCTGATACTCAGTTTAGCCTGTTTCACCAACTAAATATGTTCTGGCAGTAGACCTGGAGATCATTTGTAAGAGAAGTGGGAGGGTGTGGCAGAGGAGGCAAGAAAGAAAAGTAAGGAATTAATGTTTGTTCAGTGTTTTTCATGTGCTAGAATCTCAGAGGGGTTAAGTAAATGCCACTTTTTCATTAAGTGGCAGATTTAAACACAGGGATTTGAGCTTTACTTGCTTGCTGGATATTAAAATGAGATTTTATTTATAAAGTAGAAGGCACTAATAGTTCTTTCAGAATCTCCAAGTTTGCTTCATTAGACTCAATTCAGGAAAATAAGAGTTAATCGATTCACAGATAGCAGTAAGATGAAACTTTTCCTGTCTTCTATTTTTCGGTAACCTGTTTTCTTTCACACAATGAATCAATTATGATTATCACAAGCAGAAAATAAGGGCAAGTCATAGGAGGGAAAACACCAAAAGCAACACAGTTAAATCCTTATCTTCCAGAAACTTAACAGTAATTGGAAGGATGGTTGGATGACTGGATGGATTGATTGACTCACTCAACAAATACATCAAATGCCACGCCTTGTACATGGCCGTTTTTCAAGAGCATAAAAAGCTTAGACTGGTGGGATGTGAAGAAATATGAGGTAAATATTGTACTTCAACTTAAGTTGTATAGCGCATTGGTCATGCATCTACACAGTCTATGAAGTGATCCCCTTGATAAGTCCTGTGCCCATCTGGCACGTTACATGATCTTTACAACATTGTTGATTATATTTCATATCCCCATGACTCTATCGTGTCTACGATTGGGTTGTCAGAAAAGTCATGATGTATTTTTTCTGTTTTTCATTGCAAAAATGCATCATGACTTTTCTGACAACCCAATAGAGTAACATTGTTTGTCAACCAAGAGTGTGTGTATGTGTAGGCAGTCATGGGAGGTGGAGTATAGCATAAGGAAGCTAGTCAGTGGTGTTGTAACAGGTATATAAGGTGTCAGTGTCAGAGGGGTAGTAGCTTGGGGGAGGGGGATTATCACTTTGTGAGGGGTATAAATGTCTAATTATTATGTTGCTTTGTACACCTGAAACTAATAATAATAATAAAAAAAGTCTGACTTTATGAACTGTATTTCAGGTGAGCCATGCTCACTTCAAGGACCTTTTCTGCAATCTCTAAAGTGACTCTAAGCCTCCAGCCCAGATAAAACAGGGCCCATGGCATTTGATGAGGTGCTCAGTAGAGCCAGACTTACACCTGCTGGGTCCAGAGAGAACCAGAGAGCCTGGGATGATCACCCAGATACTCAGTTCTCCTCCTTCGGCAGGGCCACCTGCTCAACAACATGGTCCGAGCACAAGGCTAACAGCTAACATTGGGTTGTGACTGTTTCCTCAACTGTAAAAGGCGGGCAATAACTAACCTGACAGGAATGTTATGGTGAATAAATATCATGTTTGTAAAAAATCTGGTCTGGCCATCTCCAGTTCATTCTGCACTATAGTTGCTAGACTTATTTCTCTTGTATGCAAAGCTATGTCACTCTTCTATTCAGAACCCGTTATAATAGTTTTCCATAGCTCTCAGAATAAAGTCCAAACTCTTCTTAGAAGCAGTTTGCAACATAGTTCTCTTGCCCACCTCTCCAGCTTCATCTCCCATCATTTCCCAACCTGTGTAGCTTAGGATCCTGCAGCACCAGATTACTTATAGTGCCTACAATGTATCAAACTACTTCATGCCTCCATGTGTTCACACATGCTGTTCCCTTTTCAAATACCCTTATCTCCCCCTTTTCTTGGCTTATTCCGAAATCCTTTGAAACTCGAGTCTCTTTCCCTAAAATGCTGTCTTTTAAACCAAGATATGCTGTATCCTTGCGCTCATAGCACCACTGAGAAAACCTTCCTCCCAGCTCTTATGCTTTGCTATAATTGTCTACTTACTACTCTATTCTCCCATTAGACTATAAACTTACTGAGGTCAGGGACTATTTCTTACTCATCATTGAATTCCCAGGGCCAAGTACATGTACCAAGTATTGAACAAATGTTTGAAAGAAAAGTACCTAGTACATAATGCCAATTGCAGAATGTTACCTTTTTTCCCTTTCTGCCTTGTGAACCAATTTACTACTGTTGAGATTTTATGATTCCAAGATATGCTGACCAGAAAGGACATCCTAATTTCATTAGCAGGTATGCTTTTCAGTGTATTTAAAAAACTAGCATTCTAGGGCCGGCCAAGTGGCGCGATGGTTAAGAACTGGCTTGGGATGCCAGAGGGCCCCGGTTTGGATCCCACATATGAGGACCAGTGACGCTGCCCTCTACAAAAATCCCCAAAAAACAAACAAACAAACAAACAAAAAACTAGCATTCTAGATGATCATACAGGCTCTTCTACATGTGGATAAAGGTAGTCCCCGAAATTCACTCATTATTTTACACATGCTAACTGAGTGCTTACAATGTTGTAGGCACTATGTTAGGTGTAAAAATCTGATATGTTTGGATGTATGATAAAGCTACAAGTTCAGACCCAGTTCTTAGAGCTGTGGTGATCCTACCAAGGTACACTGTCTTTAGGTGATGCCCTTTCTTAAGCAGCCAGCAAACCTCTTTCTTTTTGAAATCTCTTGAGTTACGAGAAGCGTTATTAAATTACTATTAATCTGTCAGCAAACAATAATGGAAAGAACACTTACTAGCCTGTGACCCTGGGCAGTTACCCAGCCTTTCTGAACCTCCATTTTCATGACTGTGAAATGGGTCTTATATCTACCTCACAGGATTGCTGGGAGGATCAAACAAAAGAATGCCTGAAAGGGTGTCTCACACAGTGCGTGTCACAGAGCACGTGCTCAAACCATAAGAGCTGAGGCTGGTTCTCCACTTACCACTGACAGTTAGTGTCCTTGCTGTCCTCTCCCCAAGCCTGGCCAGGTCCACATAGGCTGAGCCAATCCAGCTGTCTGTCTGGTGGGGCCTCTCCACACTGTCATTGCCATAAGCCCGCCACACTTGGATCTCTAATCTCTCCTCCCTGAAGTACCAAAGCAGTGAAGGGCCCCTAGTGACTTCTGCTCTTCTGGATGCCTTAAAAGTAACCATGACCTGCTCTTTGTTGGTAGATTCCTTAGGCTTCTTAAGAGGAGTCCAAAAGCCTTCATGGTCATACAGCTTGTAGCGGAGGTAGAAATACGTGTTCTTATGAATGTGCTTCTGGCCAGCAAGCAGCACGCAATGGATGGGCAGCCAGAGCCTTGGTGTGGAGATGGTGACAGTGGCTGGCTCCGCTGGCTCCTCTTCATTCATCTTGACAAGATCCTTCAGGTTATTCTCAAAGCTCCAGCCTAACAGCTCAGCAGCTTCCAATACCCGCTCTCTGTCTCCAGGATGGGTGAAGGAAACTGAAAGCTCCAGACCACCCACAATCTTCTGCATGAGTTCCAAGCCGTGAGGCATGGCTCCATATTCTGGTAAAATGACAGGATACCATCCTGTGATCCCTTATGAGAGAAAAGATTTTCAATTACTGTCTTAAAAGTAAAAAGACTTACCACCCCAGAGCCACCATCGCCCTGGCCCAAGACAGAACAGAAAACATACGTCGTATATTCACAGCGCATTTTAGTTTGTTTCATCTGACCCCTGAAAGACAATGAGATCAGGTGGAAGAAGAGAGGCTAGGAGCTGGAAGACCTGAATTCTCTTCCTGGCTCAGCCCAAAGATAGTGGTTCAGTCTGGGTGAGCCATTAATTTCTCTTAGCCTTAGTTTCCTTACCTGACAAATGGGAAAATTAGTGCTGACCTTGCCTACCAGACAAAGTTGTTAAGATCACGAAATGAAATAATGGTTTTAGAAGACCTTTCAAAAAGTGCTATTAAAAAAAATGTGAAATGTTATTATGGTGCCATGAGGACAATAAAAAAGGCAAGGAATACAAAATCAGGTAATCTGGGGTCTAGTCCCGGGTCCTCCACCAAGGGACTACCACTTAGTGAGTACATACCAAGGACCAGGCACTAGCTTTCAAAATAGTAACAGCTGCTCTGTTGAGTATTTACTATGTGTCAGCAATTCTCCTAGTGTTTAACATGAATTATACTTCATTTAATTCTCCTGATAGCCCTGTGAAGTTCTGAGAGTTAAATGGGACAAGAATCTGTATTTTAGAAGAGAAAATGGAAGTCCAGAGACCTGCCCAAATTATTACAGCTACCAAGTGGTAGAGCTAGGATTTGAATCTAGTGTCTAGCTGGCTCCAAAGTCTACACTCCACCTACATAGGTTCACAATGTTTTATCGGAAACCCTTAGAGTCAGATTTGTTTCTGAATTTAGGATTTTTTTCCCGATTTTAGAAAGGTGATATGTATATAAAGTGAATATTATATAACAGTCAGTGATCATATCAGTCAGGGGTTGGTAAACTTATTCTGTAAAAGGCCAGACAGTAATATTTTAGGCTTTTGGGTCATATGGTCTCTGTTGCAACTACTCAGCTGTGCTGCTGTAGTGAGAAAGTGGCCACAGACATTATATAATGAATAGCTATACTGTGTTCCAACCAAACTTTGTATAATCAGGTGGTGGCTTACGTCATAATGAAAGACTAAATAGTCTCTCAGTTGAGGTCATATTTGGCTGCTTAATGAGTTCATAAAAAATTTCTAATTTTCTGACCTTTTTGGATTTCACAATTATGTAAAACAAACTGTGGATTGGTATAATAATAGTCACAGCAATTTTCTGAGAAAGGTTATATTAATTATACTTTATAGGTGAGAAGATTAAGACTTATTGAACTTAATTTGCCAAAGGTCACTTAAGGCTTTATGACTTTTGAAAAGCTGTAACTTTTCTAGGCCTTCCTAGTTTTTATCTGTTAAATAAAGAGGCTGAACATGTTGATCTCTAAGATCCCTCTGGCTTGGTCAGTCTAAGAACCTATGGCCTTTGCTTTAGTAACTGCTCCTCCCTGGGTATTAATTTCCCCACAACCTAGTGGTTCTTAACATTTTTTGGTCACAGGCGTCTTTGGCTCTAATGAAAGCTCCTATCCCCAGAAAAATGCAGAAATGTACATACACATAAAATTTCATACCATTTCAGCATTTAAGAACTGCTAGATGATACTATAATTGAGATTATTGGCAGAAGGAAAGAAAATAGAATGCTCACAAAGACAAATGATATATCTGAAACTGTCTAAAAGGTCTTATTTACAAGGGGTTACATTTGATTTGTAGAGATGGGACTTTCCAGATGGTGCCTGTTGCCTGACAAACTCTACAGTAAGTTTCAGAAGGAAACTGAGGTTTCCTGTGTGCCTAGCCCCATGCCAAGATCCTTTACATGTATGATTTCATTGAGGGGTTCAGTAATCTTGCAAAGTAGATCTTATTATTTCCATTTTTACAGATGAGGAAACTATGGATCTGAGAGATGAAGTGACTTTTTCTAGATCACTAACAGTAAGTGACAGAGGTGAGACTTAAACCTTCTCTATGAAGTTGTACAGACATGTCTCTGGCAGGCAAATAGTACCTGTTTATTAGAGTACTGCTCAAATTTCAATCTATAATTAAACTTGGGAGATGTGTGACAGAATTTTGTAAACTAGACTATACAATCCTAGGGATGAACATGGGCAAGAGAAGCAAAACAAACATTTACTGAATGCCTACTATGTGTCAGGTTCTTTGTATATCCTATTTAATGAATTCCTGCCCTGTAGACTTGTCAGGATTAACTGTCTCCATCCATGAGCTAAGAAAACTGGGGCTCAGAAAGGTCATGGTCACTTTGTCAAGGTCACCAAGCTAGTAATAAGTAGGATGAGACCAATATTTCCAAACTGCCTTGGTGGTTGTGTCTTTACCTCATATCTTTATTCCTTCTTCAGTGAGAGAGGAGATATAGTGAAAAAGAATGGGCAAAGCTAGGTTTGATTTTCAATACTGCCACTCACTAGCTGTGTGGCTTTGGCAAATCACTTAACGTCTGTGAGCCTAAGTTTTCTCACCTGCCAAAGAAAAGGATAACATCCTGTATCCCTGCCAGGCAGGGTTATCATGCAGCTCAAACAAGATCTAAGAAAATATTTTACCAAGTGCCATATAATGTAATGGGTGTCGCCATATTAATTATTAGAAACATCATCTTTCTTGAGTAAGATGACAGTACAATGTTTTGAGCTTCTTTGCATTATTAGATGAACTTTGAAATGATTAGGAGAGGTCTTAAAATGCTTTTGAGAAAATCTGTGAGGTACCTGGGGGAGAAGTGAGAAGCATGTGTTAACGGGTCGGGTTTCCTTTTGCATATCTTGCAAGGGAGCCAGACAAGATGATCTCTTGCAGGAAGGGGAATGGAAAAGGGTAGGACTAGGAAGTGCTAATCTACTATCCTTACCAGATCTCTTGAGTAGCAACTCTTTTGTTGGAACCTTTACTACTCCAAGCAGATAATCTTTGAATGACTGGATACTGGTTATATCACTGGCTGTTAAATAAAACAAAAAAGAGAAATTATTTGGTGGTTTACTGACCAAAAAGTTTGTGCTTACAATATATTCTCATAACCCTCCATATACAGTCACTAAATCTCTGTGTTGAAAGATGCAGTAGAGATCATCTTGCTCCAGTCAAAGCTTAATTGCCCTCTAAATCATTTTAATTAAATCATTAGTCATGTGCGTGTGTGTATAAATATAATTTTAAATCATTTAATTTTGAAAAAAATTCAGGCATACAGAAAAGCTTCAAGAATATGACAACAAACTTCTATAATATACCTTTCACCTAGATTCACCCAGTAACATCTTGACACATTTGCTTTCTCTCTCTCTACATTCTCTCACACACACATACACGCACACACTCAATACATATTCTACTTAATTTTGCTATATCCTTCAAAAGTAAGCTGCAGAGAATATGACCCTTCACCCCTGAATACTTCAGCATGTATCTCCTAGGAAGGCTATAATATTCAAAACAGAGCCCCTTTTAATTCTAGTTGTGATGAGTCATTTGGTGCTCACCTGACTTGGTATCTTCATGGTAAATAGCAAAAGTGACCTCTGCAAACTCCAACAGCTCTGCTAGGAAACAGGCCTCTCCACTGCAGTGTTGAGTTACTAAGTTACAAGAGAACTCAGTATGATGGGAGAACTCAGGGCAGAAGGTACAGGCCACAGGGCGGGTTTGGCGCTGCTCTCCCTTGGGCAGGAAGGATAGATGAATGGTGACAAAGGCATTAACTCCAACTGTGGCACTAAACTGTAGAGAGGGTTCCTGCTCAGCCAAAGCCCTGCAGGGGAGAAGGGTGGAAAGGAGAAGAAGGTAATGTCAGAAATCAGCTTGACTGCCTAGAAAACATTTCTACCATTTCCAGGAGGCCACCAAGAACACTGACTGATCATGTTTCCTGTCTAGGTTTCTGGCAGTGCCACGGTGTGCTCTCAGTAATCTGGCTACCAGAATGTGTGTGTATGGGGGTGGGAAGACACAACATTCATCTGTCTACCAGTGTCACTCCAAGGACACTCCATTGTACTGTCAGTGTCTTTCAGTCAAAGACTACCAGGAGCCAACTGTAGTTGAACCAGTTGGGCTTACTGTCCATTGCAATGAGGGAGAACACACACCACAGGGAATCATGGGGCATCTTAGTAAGAAGGTATCAGAAAGGACTTATAGCACTGGGTTCATGTTATGTGATTTGAAGAAGCGTTCAAGGATGCTATTAATGAATCTTACCTAGAAGGAGGGAAGACTAGACTAAGGTTAAAACTGTAATTTATAAAGCAGCAGCAGTCACTCATGTTAGCCACGATGGAGGAACATTGGGTATTTTTGTAGTTTTTCATAATGACCTTGTTTTGGTTTGCACTCACACAAGGTTATGGAATAGGCTTATTTTTGTCTCACTTGATCATGGTCACAGAGCAGCCTTGTCGGAGGCTGGTGTTCTGTGAGATGTTTATGCTCAACAGGAAAACACCAAAGCATAGCTATGAGTGTCAGACTAGTTCCCAGATATCGAGGTCTGCTTTTCTCTTTCTCAGTACACATGTTCCACAATGTACAGACAGAATCTACCCACCTTTAACTGATACTCATAAAGAGTAGTCATATCTTTTGTTTGTGGGTATGAGACAAACTTCCTGACCCCAAATTCCCCAAGGGTATAAAACTGACATTAAGGCAAAGAGGTCACCTCTTTTTGAAGCATTTCCTGATAGCCCCAAAGCAGACTTTAGGGTTCCTTCCTCTAAAATTCTTACTGTACTGTATACACATCAGTAGAGGGTAATAATTTGGAGTTATACACATTGGGGTTTGAATCCTGGCTGCACCATTTACTGTGTGGCCATGGACAAATTATTTAGCCTCTTCCAAATTTCAGTTTCCTGTTCGCTAAAACGAAGATAGCATAAGGATACAATGGATACTAAAGGTGTATGTATATTTGGATGATTATTGTAATTTCACGTCTAAGGAAATTAACCCAAAATGATCATTAATAGTAGATTGGTGCATATCTATACAACAGCATACTATAAAATATAATTATGCCTAGGAAAAATAAGATGGAAATAAATAAAATGTTAGCAGTGGCTAAAAAATAAGGATAAACTACTCAGTGTTGTAAAAAATTACATTCAATAATGGAGGGTGCCAAAAAAATGTATACACATTTTAAGAAAGGAAAAAACTGTATTAAAAATGTAATACTCAATATATACTGATAACAAAATATGAATACAAGTCATGTGTATACATTTTTTTAGTACTCCTGGTATATACAAAGCAGAGAACCTGTCTATGGGAAGTAAAGACTCTTACCAGGAAACTCTCAGAGGTGGCAGTGATATCACAGAAAAGTTTGGGCCCCAACTTGGTCTGTATTCATTCATTCAACAATTACTTGCTGAGCGTCTGCTATGGGTGCCATGCATTGGGTTCCAAACTAGATATACTGTAGTAAAATAAATACAATTTCCTACCCTCATACAAATACAACTTAAAAACTACTGGCTGTGTCCAAGGAACTTTCTACTCACTCTCAGTTCAAGATCAGGTGAGTCAGAAGACTCAAGTGAATAAGAAAGAAGCGCCATCTTTACATAGACACTGAAAATGCATTTCAGGAAGACCACCGGCACCATGAAGGTTGGTGTCTCCTGATGAGAGAAGGCTTTAATTCAGAGCACCTGCTATCTGGGTACCAGAGTGATGATTCAAAGGAGGGAGTTTAGAACACCAAGAATTCCTCTCTTCAATAAGAGACAATGTAAAACTTATTTCTCATTTTACTATAGTCTACCGGCTAATCAAAGAAACATTAATTATCTATACAAGTGGAAGTAATCACAAAAATCCATACATTGGTATAGACCTTGGTCATTTATAAAGTGACTTTAGGGCCGGCTGAGTGGCTCAGTTGGTTAAGAGCTCGCTCAAGAGTTTGAGCTCTGAGCAACAGCGGTTCGAGTCAGCCCGAGCTGAGCAGCCGTGAGCTGCCAACAGGTGGCGGGATGGCTCAGCTAAAAAAAAAAAAAAAAAAAAAAAAATAAAGTGACTTTATGTTTGTTCATGTTTACAGTAATCCTTATAAAATCGGGGGAGGTGTTCATAATTTCCATTTTCAGATAAAGGCGCTCTGAGAAGTAAAGAAATTAGCCTCAAATCACTCACAGCTAGTAGGAGACAGGGGTGGGACTAGAAGCCAATGGCTCCAATTTCTAGTGCTGTTCTGTTTCCATTAAACCATGCTTTGTCTCACATCCTGTGGCGCTCTCCCAACCTACCAGAAGAATGCAGTCTGAGAACTGGCCTGGCTTCTTGCCCTTCCTTCTTGAAACTAACACAGGCCCAATGGACTCACAACAAATTGCCTGCCATCCAATCTGACTTTCCTCCTAGGTCCCCAGAGGAAAGGACTACTGAATTTCTTATCTATTATTCAGTCTCTTTCAGATCTACTGAGAATCTAAATTCCAAGTCCTTCTCTGCCAATTAAATTTAACACCATATTATAGAATTCTGGCCTTGGCTGGGTCTTACAAAGAACAGGTACTGTAGATACAGAAGTTTCATGCCTCCATGCCTTTGCTTTTATGTTCTTTTCTTTGACCAGAATAATTTTCAGCTGTTGGGCATTTTGATAAGTCCTACTTTTCTTTTAAGACTCATGTTAAGATATTTTAAAGGTCCTTGAATGCCAAGTTGAGCACACTGGACCTTATTCTGAGGACCAGTTGTCCCAAAGGAGATTATATACAACCTACAGCAGGGGTCGGCAAACTGCGGCTTGCGAGCCGCATCCAAAGAGCCGTATGTGGCTCGTGAGTTGCAGTTTGCCAACCCCTAACCTAGCGGGTTCATAGGGTAAACTTTTTGGGCATAGGAAGAAAATACTAAAACGTATACATTTGTTATCTGATATATTACAGTTTTACTACTCTGATATGTTTTTCTAATGTATTTAATATATTAGTATAGTAATACATGAAGATGATTTATGCATTAATAAGTATATATTTGGAGAGTATGCTAAATTTTTATGTTTCTATTAATATGAATACCCAATTAAAATTAGGAGACCACTGCTACTGACAATGGGAAAACATGAAAAGTTTTAATGCAAGGGAGTGATATGATTAAAACAACTGCCCTGGCATCACTTACACTAAGATGTTCTTGGGCAATTACTGCAAAAGTCTAGTTAGAGAATTTAGTGAGGAAAAATATTAACTAGAATGAACATTTTACTAGCTGCTCCTGTGTCAGATCTCACACAGGCAGTAATTCAATTAGTTATTTCGAGACTATGAGGTTACTGTTTAATCTGAGTTACAAAAAGGGAAAAGTTAAGGAGCACTTGCTGCTTCTTTCTGGAACTCATGTCCAAAGTGAGCCAGTCTGCAGCAGGAGTGTGACCTAGTTCTCTTTCTTGCTGAGCACCTGTCTGTGCTAGAACTATGCTATACAGTGGGGAGGTGGGCATAGAGGACTTCAGGCATTGTCTGTGACTACAGGAACTCACAGCCTAGGGGAGAAAAACTCATGTATATAAATAACTTAAACAGAGTGGTATGTGCTGCAGCCAAGGAGTTAGTAGACAAAGGACAAAGCATCAATTCTGTCTACATGTAGGAAGAGATAAAGGAAGGCTGTGAAGGAGCTGCAACGTATTGAAAGAAAACAGGAGTTTGTGTAGTGGACCAAAGGAAGAACAATCAAGGTGGAGAGAAATATGAGCAAACACCCAAAGGAGGTAAAGAGGGCCATGCTGTTTATATACAGAACTAGTGTTCTAGGCAGAGAAAACAGCAAGACACACCCTGAGAGGAAAAGAACTTGGTGTGTACAGAAGCAATAAGGCCAGTGGCTAGAGTAGAGTGAGCAGAGGGGAAGACTAACAGGAAGAGCTGAGGTTATAAAGATAATGGGGTCCGATCATGTGGAGTCTTACAGCCACTTTAAGGAGGCTGGCTTTTACTCTGAATGAGATGGAAAGTCATTGGTGGGTGTTCACATAGAGATGTGTCAAGATCTGACTTAACTTTCCATAGGATGGCTGGCTTCTGTATTGAGAATAGACTTGAAGGGAAACAAGCTAGAAAAACAGAAGGTGGCACCAGAGACAGAACATGAGATTACAGAAGAGTTGTAGTGACTGATCTTGGCATGGTTGGAGGGTGTAGGGTATGACTGCGGGAACAAGTGGTTAAGTAGGGCAGAGGATAAAGTCGTCGGATATGGTCAAGGAACTAAGTTGCTAATAACAGTTAAAATAGCAAAGCTTGCAAGTGATTTATTCACTTATGTTCTTATACGCTTTCTTAAGAGGAAAAGAAAAAAGTAGAGTTGTGGTTAATGAACTGGAAGTTGTACACAAGAAAGTTTTATGTACCTGAGAGCATCATGTATCTTGAGGGCTGCAGTGGAAAAACGTTTGAGGATTGCTTTTCTAAGGTGGACTTACTTGGCTGCTGCTTGCAGTCCACAGGCTCTGATAATCTGGACTGAGATGGAGACAGCTCGGGCAGCAAGAACTCCCTCTGCTGTCCTTGGAACACGCCTGTACCTTAGGCCCACATCCAGCAAACCTGAAGAAGGAGGACAAAAGGAAAAAAGAAAAAGGTGGGTTGGGACAATTTCTGTTCTACTGAACTCCAGTCAGGAAGGAAGAATGAGGACAAACACTATAATCCTAATGAACAATAAGGGGCCTTAGCAGGGAGAGAATCTGTCTGTGGTCAGAATCATATATTATTATTGTACTTTAGGATTAATAAAGGCAGAGCAGAAGTTACTATTTTCACTTTACATCCAAGAAATTATGGCTCAGAAATTCAATTTCCTGCCAAGATCATACAACTATCAGAGGCAGAACTTAATCCCAGACTTTCTAAAATTCCAGTTATTTTTACAGAATTGAGATGGCCTTCAGGCTTTCTTCTTTTAAAGCTTTTAAAAGGTTTTCATAGGGCCAGCCAGGTGGCGCAGTTGGTTAGAGCACGGGCTCTTAACAACAAGGTTGCCAGTTCGGCTCCTGCATGGGGTGGTAAGCTGTGGCCCCCCCCACCCTTTCCTGCAACTAAGATCGAACGTGGCACCTTGAGCTGAGCAGCTGCGAGTTGCTGATGGGTGGCCAGATAGCTCAGTTGGTTAGACTGTGTGCTTTTAACAACAAGGTTGTTGGTTTGACACCTGCATGGGATGGTGGGCTGTGCGCCCCGCAACTAGATTGAAAATGGCGACTGGACTAGGAGCTGAGCTGCGCCCCTCCACAACTAAGACTGAAGGACAACAACTTGACTTGGAGCTGATGGGTCCTGGAAAAAAACAACGTTCCCTTCCCCAATAAAATCTTTAAAAGAAAAAAAATGTTTTCATACTCTTGTACTTCTATCACCCTCCTGCCAATACTACCACCTTAAACACCCCTCACATGCCATCTTTTTTTAAAATAAAAAATCCTACCACCCCACTATCACATTTTAGGGAAAGCTTTAAGGAATGACAGAACAAGCTGATCAGTGAGGGTAAGGAAGAACAACTCAATCTTAACCATGGCAGGATAAAACCTTTTGTTTTGGCAGATACGCTCCAGCAAGCACGTACAGTAACTTGACTTGGCTGGCTAATCTTAGTTATCTATGATGTACTTGGAGGGTAGGTCATCCTGCTGAAACCATTAGGATATAATTCAAAACTCCAAATTCTAATTCATTCCTTCCATCTTTAAATCCTAACCTTCTCTTCCCTTACAGTGAATTCCCAGTTTATGTTATATTCCACCAATCCCACATCTGCTTATGTTGCCTTGGAATAATAATTTTCTAAGAAAACTTATAATACTTAGGATTTAGGCAGCGAGGACTTATTAAATGCTTGCTGAAGTTAAAAGTGAAATGAGACAAGCAACATTTATATAGACAGTCTATGGATCTATGAATTTGCTAAAATTGTATGCGAAATTTGCAAGGTATATTCTACACTCATTTATCTAAGAGAAGGTGTCTCATAGTTTTCATCAAATTCTTAAAAGGGTAAGTACCACAAAATGTGAAGAATAATTGAGAGAGAAAAGGAATATTTACCTATTCTGACTTTGAAAGGGAAAGATAAAGTAGTCTTCAATTACCTGATGATTGGTTCCTCAGTTCTTTCCTATTCTCAAGCCTGGGGGTTAAAGGGAGATTAAAGGTCTGTATTCCCACATCCTCACGGTGCTGCATGGTGACCATGGCACAGATCCTCGATAATGGTAATGTTCCTTTGGCGACCATCTGGTCTCTCACGTTAGGATAATAGTATCTGTAAGCCACAAAGCACAAGCTGTCAGCTGGAAGAATGAGGTGGATGACTGATTTAGTCCACCCCAGGGATCGACTTTCAGTATCTACGTATCTTTGGAGCCTGATCTGTATTTGTGGTCTACAGCTGTGGTCGTGTCTGGCTGGCTTTACTGCCCAGTATGTGGAGAAGGAACCCCATAAATGATACCTGGTGCTCAGGACAAAGCCCGTCTTCCCACAGGCTTCTTTCTGGGGTAACTGCACCTGGCCTGGATCCCTGGGAGCAGCCACTCCCGAAAGTACCCATCGTGCAGGAGCACAAGTGTTTCTACGTGGAGCAGTCCTAATCTCTTTTTTTGGCTTCAGGCCCAAGCCCCTCCAATCTGGAGGCGTAATGAGGACCTGTTAGTATCTACACTACTTCCCTCTCAGGTCAAAACATCCCATTCTTAGATCACAAAGTTACCAAACCTAACTTCCACCTGATTCAGGAAAAGTTTCTGACAAGTGGATGGTATTCTTCCCTAGTTCTGCTCTGGATGCTGTTTCCTCTCCTTTTATTTATACTCTCTTAGTAATTTTACTTGGTTTCTTCGGGGTGGGAATGCAAAGGGGGAGAGTGAACACCTGTTTTCATGCTATTATCTTTCCTGGAATCTGCCAAAGTCTGCGACATGAGTTAAGGGAAGGCCGCTCTATGATTATGTACTTGCTTCCTAGGCACGGGACTGGCTTCTCCACATTGTACCTGCACCAGACTTCAAAGTGGACTCCACCTCCAGGCACGAGCGCCTGTGCAGAGAAGACACTGAGTAGGAGCCTTTGCACTGGAACTTCAGTTGGCAGCAGGAGAGAGTGATGGTGCTCACTATTAAAGATGGGGTCCGGAACACAGAGTGTGGTGGCAGATCTGAAAGGCTTCAGAGTGATTCCTGTGGAAAAGCAAAGCAATTCCGAACAATCCAACACATCCTTTAGTGTTGCATATCCAGTATATGCAATTTTAACCTCACGATAAAGAAAACAAAGCAGGTATTAGTACTACTTCATAGATAAGAATATGGACACTTTGAGGTTACACAGTGAACCCAAAGGTCTCAGAGCTGGTAGGTCACATCTGGACCCAGAATCTGTACCTTCAGACTGCGTTACTCCTACCAGGTCCATTTCCCTACTAGCGACGGTATTTAAGGTCTCATGATAATACAGAAGGGATCCCTTTGTTGGTGGACAAGTGCATGAGGGTTCCAATTTCTCCACATCCTTGTCACCATTTGTTAGTCTTTTTTTTTTTTTTTAAATTATAGCCATCTTAATGGATGTAAAGTGGTATCTTGTAGTGGTTTTAATTTGTGTTTTCCTGATGACTAATGATGTCGAGCATCTTTTCACGTGCTTTTTGGCCATTTGTATATCTTTGGAAAAATGTCTATTTAGATCTGTTGCCTATTTTTTAATTGGATTGTTTTTTTATTATTGATTTGTAAGAGTTCTTTATATATCCTGGGCACAAGTCTATTATTTGGACCTCAAAACCAACACTGGCAGCGCTTCTGCAGGTATTTGCTGACATGCTCGGAACGGCAAAAAACTCTGAGCCACCCAACTTGCTCATTCCAAGCTGAAGTCAAACAGGGCAACCCTCTGTCTTCTTGTTTCAGCTCTCAGAACTGACCGGAAGACAGAGGTAGGGGGCAGTGCAGCGCAGCGTGAAAAGTTCTGGCTCTGGAGCCAGTTGGATGGGGTACAAATGTCATCCTTGGCACTTGCTGCTAGTGGGGCGGCCTCAGTCACTTCACACTTCTGAACCTTGTTGTCTCTTTTGTAAAATAAGAATAGAATCGACCAGGATAAGTTGTTTTGAGGATTTAAGATCATGATCTATGTGAGATATGTATAGGTACATATTTCTCCCAGGAACAATGGTTCAGTATTCTCTAAGTCAGTGTTCTTGAAGACTTTATAGAATATAACTATTGTGGATAATGAAAATCAATTGTACGTTTATAGATGGTAAGAGTGAGTAGGCATGTAAATAATATAAGACGGGACAAGGTGTGAATAATTGATAGATGTAGGTAAAGGGTATAGAGAAGTTCTTTGTACTATTTTCACAACTTTCCCAACCATTTGAACTCAAATCACAATAAAAGGCCCCAAAAATTTTTAAGAAAAGAAAAATAAAGGGCCAGCTGAATGGCTCAGTTGGTTAAGAGCTCGCTCAAGAGTTTGAGCTCTGAGCAACAGCGGTTCGATGCCCAGCCCGAGCTGAGCTGCTGTTGAGCTGCCAAAAGGTGGCAGGATGGCTCAGCTAAAAAAAAAAAAAAGAAAAGAAAATACAAGAAAAGAAAAATAAACACTTAGCTTACCTCCTGTACTGCCCAGAAAGACTAGAAGCATCGAGGAACACAAAATTCACTCAGGAAAAATAAATTACTAAGTATATCCAATACAAGAACTATACAAGAATGAAGCAGCCTAATCTTCCAAACCTACCATTTTCAGGGAGCTCAGGTCCTTTTAGCAAACCGGATTGTGAGTCTTGAACTGGAAAGTAGTACTGGACATAACAATCTGCTTCTCCCCAGACTGTTGCCTGCAGAGGGGCTAGCCCTTTAACCTTTTCTACATGGACCTCAAAGTGGTGCTCCATCAATGCATTTCCTTGGTCCTTTTCCTATTAAACAAACAGAAAGACTGGTGAGCTTTAAAGAGTAACTTGCTTAGAATATTCCTGCTTCCCTATGAAGTCTGAGGATAGATGAAGAAATAAGCATAATTAATTAGCTGATACTAAAACAGATACTTAATTTTCATTGTATATAAATCTCACGGGCCAGCCAAGTGGAGCGTTGGTTAAGAGTTAGCTTGGGACGCCAGCTCTGAGTAGCAGGGTCCTGGTTCGGATCCCACATGAGGGCCAATGATGCTGCACCCTCTATAGCTAAGATGGTGAACAACAGCTCAACCTGGAGCTGGGCTGCTGTGAGTCGCCGGCGACGGCGTAGGCTGCAGTGGGGCTGGCCAGCAGCCAGCGTGAGCTGCCATGAGCTGTGGTGAGTGGCCGTCCAATGGCCGGTGAACAAATGCCTCACCCGGGAAGAGCGCAATGATAATACCAACATGGGCCAGTGAAACGACGTCCTCCACAACTAGACTGAAGAACAAAAGGACAGCAACTTGTCTGTTCCCCTTTCCTGATTCCCCAATGCTGTTCCCCTCCCCCAACTCCCCAGTAAAACCTTAAAAAGAAAAAAATCTCACAACTGCTCACTGTAATCAGATTAAGATGGGTTTATTCTAGACTGTGAGACTGGGTCAAAACTATGATATCCGTAAATGTAATCTAGTACATTAATAAAAAGGAAAAAAATGACTATTTCAAGAAACGCTAGGGCCGGCCAAGTGGCATGTTGGTTAAGAGTTGGCTTGGGAGCGTGAGCTCTGAGCAGCAGGGCCGCCGGTTCAATTCCCACATGGGCCAGTGATGCTGCGCCCTCTACAGCTAAGATGGTGAACAACAGCTCGACCTGGAGCTGGGCTGCCATGAGTAGCCGGCGACAGCGTAGGCTGCAGTGGTGCTGCAGTGGGCTGCTGTGAGCTACTGTGAGTGGCCGGCAGCCAGCAAGAGTTGCCATGAGCCACCATGAGCGGCTATCCAATGGCCAGCAACCGACTGCCTCAGCCGGGAAGAGCGCAATGGTCATAATACCAACATAGCCCAGTGAAGCGGCGTCCTCCACAACTAGACTGAAGAACAAAAAGGACGGCAACTTGTCTGTTCCCCTTCCCTGATTTCCCAATAAAATCTTACAAAAAAAAAGACTAAAAAGATATTTGATAAAATTCAACATCTTTTCCTAGTTCTCAGTACACTAAAATAGAAAGCTATTTCCTTTTAGGATAAGGAACACATTTGAAGCAAACTGGTATTAATTTACTTAATATTATTTTTAAGGAATAACACCAAAACTGTTCATTAATGGTAAGGGCTACTTGGACAGGTAACTAATACACTGTTAGTGAAGGTATTTCTACTAATAACAATTAATAATGTAGTTATTATTTACTATGACCCAAGCATTATACTAAGTCCTTCCTTTATATTAGCTTGTTTAACATGCATTGGAACCAGGATATGAACTCAGTAGTCTGACTTCAGAGCCAAAGTTCTTTACCTGTATTCTAACAGCCTCAGTAGGCACTAGATAACTGACTATTGGGAATATTCAAAGGGGCAATTCAGGATTCAGATAAGGGTCAGGCTGTATGCTTTATTCATATTTAACATTCGAACCACTAATCCAATAAAAACTGGAACAGAGATTGCATTAGGTCTTTGCTGTGAAATTTAAAAACATATGTCAGCGATATCTACTCAAAAACCTTACTTATAGAAACAGAAAACTTATAAGTTGACTCCCCAGAGAAGAAAAATATAGGAAAAATAACCCCTCTGAATTACAGCAGCACTTAATTTGGTTATACAGTATTACAGTAATTTAATAATAATAATTCAGTTCTGCAGATGTGGAACTGGATGAAGGACTTATGAGTAGAAGAGGAAAAACAATTGTATTTGTTGATATCCAACTTTCTGAGGACTTATTTTGTGCATATAGTGAGTAACATTTTCTAACTTTTAGTATGAAATTTAACAAAACCTCAGTCTATACTGCAACAATGTGAGGGCTGTATAACATCTAATAAGATTTGGGAATATCACAAATGATTTTTTAAAAATTTGTGCTTTTATGCCATTTTTAAATAAAAATAAAACACTATTGATAAACACTAAGATATTAAAAAAACAGAAAAGTTTACAGTTCTTAACAAATAAACAACCTACTAGTAGATATTTTTCTAATAGTTCTTTCTTTGCTAGACATTAAATTAGTCACTCAGATTTAGACTGAAAAACAACATATTTTAATGGCGTAGAGACTGAGATTTGGCTATACGAGATATCAAGAGACACCAAATGTAAGATACAATATGATACGACATAGCAGACTCAGAGTCAGAAGACCTGTGTCTGAACCCCAATTCTTCCATTCTAAGTTATGGAACCCTGGACAAGTAACACAACCTCTTTGATTCTGTTTTATCACCTCAAAGAAAGAATGATGATGACCCACCTTGTGTAGCTGTTAGGAAAATAAACATGATCAAGTATATCAAGGCGCTTTCTCAATTGCATAGCACTATATAAAACAATTACTTTTGAGTTATTAGAAAAACAGGGAACTTCACTGTAACTTTCCAACATGGATTTGGTTAAGAAACAGAATAATATTTTGCTGGCTTACATTTGGGATCACTCTTTATCTACCACCACCAATTTTTCCCCCCAGATTACCTTCTTTTTTTTTTAAATTAAGGCTATTATTTCAGAGCAGTTTCAGGTTCACCCCAACATTTTTTAACGGCAATTAAGTTAGTAAACTAGAGAATTATAATCTGGTTGTCCAGTTAGATTTCCTTTACAAATTCAAGGAACTCAGAGGGATACAGATATCCATTAAAAACATAAAGTATCAATGATTCTTCTGATCTATAGCAAGCATTGCAGTGCAAGTATGTTCTTTCGTTAAACCTTTCACTACTGAAATAAGGATTTGGGGCAAAGGATTCACTAAAACATGCAAGATAAAATGAGGTTATTATAATTGAAATTTACTGAGAGAGTAGATCTAAGTGTTCTCACCACACACAAAAGAACGTAACTAGGTGAAGTGATGGGTATGTTAATTAGCTTGATTATGATAATCATTTCACAATATAAACATATATCAAAACATCATGCTGTACACCTTAAAATGAGATTATGGTTTTTGTAAACAAGCAAGTGTTTAGTCACTACCATAGCAACGGATGCTACAGATGGCTGGTCCAGTAAATGGGCTGGCCTAGGGCTGAAGGGAGGAAGTGTTCCTTCTTCATTCTTTAATCTCTGTAGTGCCATTATCTGATCTGAAGAACCCATAGCTAAAAAGACTCGAAGGCTCCCGTTTTGCTGGCCTGAGAAAACATCAATCACAGGCATGTAGCTGTCGACAGCAACAACTGGGTACTGAGCATCAAGCAGCAGGTGAGAAATCTTGGGGTCTCTAAAGGGAGAGAAATTGTACATGAGCAAATAACAATCGTCAATCATGTTACAGAGTTGCTTAATTTCTATGCCTCATTTCATTTGGTTAATTTCTAATTTCACTTAGCTCATTTTCTGTTTGTTAAAAATGGATCTATAACTAGAAAAGTAATGGTGGTTTAGAAAAAACAGATGATTGTATCCATAATCCATCAAATAAAAAGTACGAGGCAGATAAGTTCCAAACGGAGCCATGTGAGGGCAGGGAATGTGTCTGATTTATCTCATCATGGCCCCAAGCCCAGTGTCTGGGGTTGAGTACTATCTCAGTAGAGGCCAGGTCAACTGCATTAGTTTACAGGTAGGCAGTGTGGTCAGCTAGAAAATGTATGAACTTTGGAGTCTGGCAGATAGGATTTAGATAATATTACCAATAATACCATCTGCTGGTACTATGTGGTAAGCACTTTACAGAATTTCTATACTTCTTCTAACACTGCAAAGGTTGACATTATCTGCTATTAACAGATGAGAAAAAAGTCCAAATGCTCTTCATTATACCATGCTGAATCTTAGCTCTACCCCTTACTTGTTGTGTAACTCTAAGTAACCAATTGAACGTTTCTAAGTCTATTTCCTCATCTGTAAAATGCAGGTAATAAAACTTCCATCAAAGCTGTTGTTAGGACTAAACTGAGGTAACAAATATAAAATACCAACTATGTTGCTTGATACATAATAAATGCTCAGTAATTGGTAGCTACTATTGCTTTATGCTCTCTCAGCAAAGAATGGGGTCTAATGAAATGAGAAGGGGAGGGGAATACCAGGCCAGACAAATATCACAACTAAGCAAAAAGGGTCAAAGCCCAAAGCCTACAGCTGGCAGTGGTATCATGATTCCCGCAGTACTCCTGGGCCTGACCATGCTTTCCAATGTTACCATCAATAAGATTGAACTGTTCCCAGAAGGCTTACCCATTTATTTTCTCACTAGAATCTCACAATCGCTCCAAGAGAGGAAGGGGATCTATCAGCACCTTCATTTTACAGGTGATGAAAAGAAAGCCAGAGAGGTCGACTTCTCCAAATTAAAGGACAAGTCTCCTCATTTGTAAAATAGGGATAACGGTTAATACCTCCTGGAGTTATAGAAAGGCTCACATGAGACAGTGCCCACAAAAGTGCTCTTTATAAAATATAAAACAGCATTTAAAACATAAATCCATGAGGAGGCTGTTAGGAAAGAGGTTAGTGCTAAAATAATTAAAAATCAGTACCTTGAATCAACACAAAAAATAAACAGTCTGTACTGAAGATAGAAATAGCCTTCAGATAAATCAATACCCCATCTAGGTGTTGGGTAGTGATAAGTGAGGTACAGTAAACAAATATGAAGGTCTAAAAGACAATACTCAGTAGAGAAGTGGTGCAAATAGCTGACGTGAACAATGCTAAAGTTTTGTGACAGAGGTGAATAATTAGTTTTGTCAGGTGGTAACCTTTGACAGTAGAGCTTCTTCGTGAGGAGAGTGGACTCTCGAGCCAGGCTCTCTGGGTTCTAACCTGGTTCTACTACTTAGGCTAGATATGACATGTTATTTATTAATAACTTTTCTGTGCTCATCTGTAAAATAAGGAAAATAAAAGTTACCTGCCTCAGAGGATTGTTGTGAGGATTAAATGACTTGATGGGATAAGGTTCTTAGCATAGGGACTGAAACATGGTAAGCAATAGCTGTAAGACTGCTTTGACACAGAAGAGCAGAAACTATGGTAAAATTGAAATAAGTTCGCCAAGGAATTACTGAGCTAGTCATGCTTGCACACCAAAAGAATTCCTCTTCAGTCCATAGAAAGTTAAAGATGTAGAATAAAGAATACTTCAAAAGATCCTATTTACTTGAATGACATGTAAAACTGATGGAGGGGGAGTTTCACCAGCCCGAGCAGCTTGTCCTGTCCTGGGCTCCGCACCTTGTTCCAAGTTTCGATTACCATCACATTGTTCTTTAGCCTTTCCAGGTATTTGGGAGACAGGGAGATGGGAATCACCTGCAAAGAGGAAGAACCACAAAACAAAAGCCCATATCTGAGACAAATGAGCAATTTATACTTTTATTCAACACACATTTACTGAAAGCCTACTGTGTGCCATGCACAGTGCTAGGAGCTGAAGACCCAATCTACATCCTCAGTCCTAAGCCACATTCTAGTGTCTGTGGCTAAATATAATACAAAATGGATTGAGTTCTCTGATGACAAAGCTCATATAGATAGGGCATCACGGACCCAGAGAAAGCTGTCAGACATATCAATCATGGTTCCTGCCAATTCAGTCAACCTTCCTAAGGCAAAATGACCCATTTGTGAGCCCCTGCTGAAAGACTGATGTTTTTTGAAACAAAGATGGCTACTGACTAGACAAGGGTTTAGCAACTGATCAAAGGGCAGCCAAACCATTGGTTGCGTGGTATGGCCCTGTGCAAAAAGCTCTGCCCAGTAGGTGTTATGGTAAATATAGCAAGGCCAACTGTTCATCTGGATTTTCAGTGTAAAATTATTCCAGAATTGGCCAGCTACCTGATAGCTAAAAGAGAAAAGAGAAGTGACAAAGAGAAGCAGAAATCTAGAGCGAAGAGCAGGTGAGTCAAATTAATGACAGACTCAAAGGCCCACCCCATTTCAAGGAACCCAACCTACAGTACAATTGCAACAGCAGAGGAGAGGCGAGATAAGCCCCAGTGATGAAACCAATAGAAAACATGAGCAGCAAAAGGGTAAAACCAGAAATGATATAAGGTGTGATGAGAGGAAGACACCGGAAGAGCAGAGAACCAGAAGAGCTACTTTTGTATCCAATTACGAACTTCCAATTATGTAAGGTACCCTGAGCACATTTCTGTTTCCTGAACCCTCCCTTTTAAAGGGTCTTGTAGTCCCAACTAAGGATTTGGACTCTATGCAGAAGTCTATGGGGAAATCACTACAAGGTTTGAAGCAGGGAAGTAAAATATTCAGTTTAGTGTTTTAGAAAGATCATTCCGTTTGGTGCACAGCCGAAGGAATGAACAGGGGGCAACCACAAACAGGTAGGCCAGTCTAAAGGCTATCTGGGATGAGAGTGAGATCCTGAATGAAAGCAATCGCAATGAAATGGAGATAAGAGGATTTATTCCAGAGATAATTAAGTTTGCAGCATCTATTGGACTTGGTGAATAATTATGTAAGAAAGAGTCAAGGAGGCCTTTTGAGCTCCCTCTTTTGCTCAGCCCGCTCCAAACTCTTTGGAATGTACTTTCTTTTCTAATAATGGGCCCTTGAGCCACTGCTTTCTGCTCGGGCCCGCTTCTATTTCTTTGAAGTGTCCTTTTTCTTCTAATAAACTGTCTTGCACCACTTTAAAGAAAGAAAGAAAGAAAGAAAGAAAGAAAGAGTCAAGGATAACTTTTAGATTCTGCTTGGGTTTTTGAGTAAATTATAATATGAATTAGGGCAGACAGGAAGAGAAACAGATTTGGAAGGAATAATAAATTCAGATTTGGACACATCTGAATTTTCTCTTTCATTTACACGTCTTTATTGAATACCTGCGATATGCTGGTGATATGTTAGGTGGCAAGTGTAAGGTGCTTTTAAGACGTCCAATTGGGGACCGACTAGCCAGCAGTTAGATGGAGAGATCTGAAACTAGAGGGAAATGTCTGGCCTACATAAAAGTGTGGATTTGGAAGTCACATAAATGAGAGCTGGAGTAATGGGAGTAAATGTGGTAACCATGGGGAAGAGAAGGTGTGGAAGAATTCCAAGGGTAGAGTAATTAAAGGTAAGACAAACGAAGAAGTGCTGGCGTCACTCTACTCTTTTCCTACTGGCCCAATGGCCAAAAAAGAACAGTTGTTGAGCATTAAGAAAATACAAGAATAGAGTTAAAAAACCAAGAAAGGAAATAATTTAAGCAATAGCATGAAATTCTACAGAGAAATCATGTAAGATGAGTGTTGAAATAAGTTGAGTTACAAATGAGAGTGAGAATGAATGAATGAATGAATGAATAAATAAGGAGAGACTGGAGAAACAGAAAAGAAAGGGGGGAAAGTTTAACAGATCAAAGCCCTAGAAAAGCAGCAAGGAACAGAACTCAGAATTCAGACAAAAGACTGAGAACAGAAAGAAATAAAGACAAACAATTTAAAAATGTTGGCAATGTCTTTTCCTTGTTCCATCCAATAGTGGGACTGGCTTTGCAAAACAGATAATCATAAAGGTTCCCGCCGGTCTGCACAGTCTACATTTCTCTTACAATGCCATTATGATTTGGGAAACATCCTTGTCTCTTAATCCCACCCATCCCTAGTGGATATGACATGTTAAGACACATACAAAGTTACCTGAGAAAAGTTAAAGACTGGTTTCGTTGTGCCCCACGCGATAACAGATCTGGTGACTTCCTCTGTGCTAAAGAGTTTGCAATTTAAATAAACATTGCACGGTGGCTGTTTCTCAGATTCTCCAGTAATGAAATCTTTCCCATCTGGCACCATCAACAGCACATGCAATAGCAAAGCACTCTCTTTTGTGGACCCATTTGTCTGATTTACTAAATTGTGAGCAGGCACAGCCATGAAGGTTGAAGGATTTGGTGCAACAGGGCTTGGTGACTTTGGGTTGAGGAGTATCAAATTTTGTGCTTCCTTTGCAGCTTCTTCATGAACTTGATTTAGGTTCTGTGGATTTCTGGTACAGGTAACATGTTGGCTAGGTTCTAGTAGTTTCTTATCTGGACTTGTTAGAGCACACAGTGGGTTATGTTGGGTGCTGCTATTCAACTTAGTCTTGACACCAGTGAAATCTTTGTTGTCTATAATAAGCTCCACAGTTACCTACAGAACACAAAAGGAAGAGAGTTAGTTGGAATCTTTTCTAGAATCTCAGAATTTTGGAGCTAGATGCAGCATTGGATTGTTAGAAATTAATTTATCCTCAAATACCACAATAGTAAGACTATTAATAGACTGCATATCCATTACCTTACCAAGATTAAGAAAAGCTAGGCAGATGACTTATGAATAATTTAAGATGAGCCTGGAAAATCATATTGTGCTGGAAAATAAGGACGTGCTCAGAAGAGAATGCAGACATATGAAAGGAAACAGAATCTAGGTGAGGTGGCTCCCACTGGCCAAATCTGGGAAAACCTGAGCATCAAAAGGAATAATAATAGTAATGGACTATAACCCACTGAATAATGTAAGAATTTATGAGTCTGTACCAATATAAATAAATATGGCAGAAGGGGCAACGCTTACATATATTGGAATGCCAATTAATAAATGTATGAGGAATTCATGGTAGAGTTAGGAAATCATCATCTTTCAATCATCATAGCAATATATGACTCAGGTAAACTTTAAATGGAGGGATTTTACAAAATAACTGGCCTTATTTTTCAAAAATATCAAAGTACTGAAAGACAAGAAGGGCTGCAGACCTGTCCAGACTAAAGGAGATTAGAGAGATATAACAATTAAATGCAATGGATGATCCTGGGCTGGAGAAACAATGCTACAAAGGGAAGTACTGGCAAAACTGGTAAAACCTGAGTCTGCACTATAGATACAGTATCACCGTTACACTGATTTTTATAACTATACAGTGTTCTGTATGATAATGTCTTTGTTCTTAGGAAACATACACCAGAATTTAGGGGGAAAGAGGCATGGTATCTGTAACACATTCTCAAATAGTTCAGGAAAAAACTGCATATGTGTGTGTAGAGAGCAAGGAGGGAGACGAGAAGGAGGAAGAAAAAAGACAGAAAGAAGAGGTAGACACCCAATGATAAAGCAAATGTAACAAATGGTAATAATTGGTGAGGGCATGTGAGTTCTTTGTGCTATTTTTGCAATTTTTCTCTAAATTTGTACTTATTTTTAAAAAGTTAAAAGTGTTAAGTAAAAGAAGTTGCAAGATGGGGGCAGCTGGTTAGCTCAGGTGGTTAGAGCGCAGTGCTCATAACACTAAGGTTGCCGGTTCAATCCCCACATGGGCCACTGAGCTGCGCCCTCCACAACTAGATTGAAGACAACTACTTGACTTGGAGCTGATGGGTCCTGGGAAAACACACTGTTCCCCAATAAAAATGTTAAAAAAAAAGATGCAAGATAAATGATGAACAATAAAAGTGGTCACTATTATGAGACTGAATTAATAAAAAGGGGACTTGCTGCTTCTTTTATTTAAAACCCACAGCAAAATTCTTTTGCTCTGTTGAATACAGACGGCAATCTATCTAGAACAGTACTTTCTCAACAGAGCCAGAATAGAAACAATTCTAGTCCATCAATTCTATTTATTACCTCAGATTTTAAATCTTGTAGCCCAGAATGAACTAGGAAAGCATAGTTTGACATGGCTATTGGTAGGGAATCTGCAAGACAGAAGGCTGCAGTGGTAGGCTAGGGTCATGAGTATGCCCTGTATTTCATCCTTTGGGTGATGAGGAGCCATGGAAATGTTTTAGGTGTGGGCCATGATGATTTTAAAAACTCCCCAGGATAAGACAAAGCTATATACTAAAGCTACACATCCAAATTCTGCCCCCTAAGGAACTCTGATGCTTCTGAATATAAGGAAAGAACCCTCTCCAATTATACTTCAGAATTCATTCTACCAGGGACAAACTCTGCCACTTCTCTCCTTGTTCACTGCTGCTACTCTAGTCCAAGTCATCGACCATCTATTTTCTGGACTCATGCAACAGCCTCCCTATTTTCCCTCTTGCCCCCTACAATCTATTTTCCACATAGTAATCTTTTTTTTTTTTTAGCTGAACCATCCTGCCACCTGTTGGCAGCTCAGCGGCTGCTCAGCTCGGGCCGGACCCGAACTGCTGTTGCTCAGAGCTCAAACTCTTGAGCGAGCTCTTAACCAACTGAGCCACTTAGCTAGCCCCCTCCTCATGCTTTTTACTAGGCAGCTTCTTTCTTTCGTTCTTCAAATCTCACCTTAAATGTCACCTCCTTAGAGAGACCTTCCCTGACCACCATCTCCCACTTCCCCCCAGGTACTCACTATCATATCATACCATTTATTTTCTTCACAGCACTGCTGTTGCCCTATTTTAATATAATTTGCAAGAGCAGAGACCCTGATTTTCTTGCTCACTGTTGTAATCTCAAGGGCCAGCCAGTAATACATGCTCCATAAATACTTGATTGCCTGAACGATACCTACATACCGTGAGGGGGCCAAGTGGAGTCTGACCATTTTCCTGCTGCACTGGAAGCTTGTCAGTGAAAGAAAGGAGCTCAGAATGAATGACAGCTCTCAAAGGCAGTGATGCAGACCCAATGACTTCCGGCTGGGAGAAGAAAAGAAAAAGTTCAGGTTAAATGAAAGAGGAGCCACAGGGAACTTTAACTGAAGTGACAATATATAATATTTTATAAAGGAACCCATGCTTTATGAAGTAAATAGCTTATCTGACGAAGGCAACTCTAAGTAGGAGCCCATATTCTGCTATATTTTGGTACCTCTTCTGGGTTTCACTACTTCTCTGTGGAAGATTATAGAGGGTTTCAAGAGCCACAAATAAGTTGGAAGATTATCTTTTTCTCTTTTTAAGAGTTGAATGAAAAACGTTCAACTTTACTCTTATTAAAAGTATAAAATGAAATTAAGGTGATATAATTTTTTGCCATTAAAGCTAAGGTAATTATAAAAATATATCCCTGATGATATCAAGGTTATGGAGAAGTAGAGGCTTCTCCACTTCTGGAAGTCATATGCCTAAGGTTGGGACTATAAACTAGCAACATACATTTGGGCAGCAAATTTGGCAATAAATATAAAAAGCATTCAATATTCATTCATATTCTTTGACCCAGTAATTTCACTTCTGGGAATCTATACTAAAGAAATAATAAACAATATTTCAAAAGCTTATATACAAATAAGTATATTTTAAAAGTTAATAATGAGAAATAACTAGATGTTCAATAGTCAGAAATTATTAAGTTAATTATAGCACATTCCTACAATGAAATACTATGTAGCCATTAAAATGTTTATTAAAAGTCTGAATTAACATAAACAATATTTGTTGTAATGTTTGGTAAAAATAGGGTATTAAATTACATATATAATAAAACTTCAAATATTTATAGTGATGTAGAAAAGATTAAATATATATTTTTGAAAAAATGAATTAAAACCCTCAAGACAATGTTAAATTTAAAAAGCAGGATAGAAGGGCCAGCCAAGTGGCTTAGTTGGTTAAGAGCTCACTCAAGTGTGTGAGCTCTGAGCAACAGTGGTTCAAGTCCCGGCCTGAGCTGAGCTGCTGCTGAGCTGCCAACAGGTGGCAGGATGACTCAGCCTAAAAAAAAATAATAAATTAAAAAAACAAAATAAAAAGGATAAAAATCACTTACAAAATTATCTTAACACTTTCAAAGATTTACATATATAATATATTCATTTGAAAAAGATAAAAGAGACACAGAAATATTAACAATAGTTATTTCTTGGTGATGGGGTTATACAAAAGTGAGTAGATGATTTTTGCTCTTTAAAAATATTTTAAAGTTCTCTAGAAAAAATGTATAATTTTTAATAATTAAAAAAATGCCATTAACTATGTGATTGAATGTAAATATACTGAAATGTTTATAGAGTTTATCTTATGATTGTGGAATTATGTTTTTCTTTCTCTTCCTATTTTTCTGTATTTTCTAAAAAGAACCTGTGGTATTTATAGCCTCTTAAAAAACAAATGAAAATAAAACAAGGTACATTCCTCATGCTATCCATACCAAAGAGGTCAAGATTACAAAAGCTACTCTTTTACTGAAGAAGTAAAAACTGCTCATGACATAGTTTACTGATTTATGTTATACCAATTACAAACAAATTTTATAATGTTGGAACTAGCTGATCAAAATTGCTGCCTTCATTATATTATTTTAAACATGGGTTGGATACCTACCTTATGTATTCTGCTTTAAAGAAAAAAGTATAATCTCAAATTAAGGCTAATAGCCTACATCAATCCAAATACATATTCAACTCTTCATATTAGGTAGCACAGTAAAGACATTAAGAACTTAGGATCTAAAGTCAAAATACTTGGGATGGAGTCCTGGCTTTGTCTTTTATTAGGCTGGGTGACCTTAGACAAGTTACTTCACTGAATCTCAGCTTTTTCATCTGTAAAATGAAGATAATGTCCCTAATTCACAGAGTCGTGGTAATGGTTAAATTTGATGGTGTATTTGTGTAGAGCCTTTAGCACATCCAGTTTATTAACGAATAGCAATCAGGCCATAATATCTGGTCTATAATAAACAGAGATTAAAATAATAATAATAATAAATAATTATAAGCATTAGTGTTGTCTGAGCCTAGAGAAATTCCTAGTTTAGAAAGAAACATAATTTTAAGTATGTTCTAAATCCCTGGTGTAAACGGTAAGGCAAAGGTCAAAATCACTTGAAGTACCTTTTTCTGTGGGGTTTTCTTTGAATAAATTTGGAAAATGAGGTTGGAATTCCACCAGTGTTCTATCATTGGGCCACCAAACTGTACTGGAAACACAAATCTCTGCTGAAATTTCACCACTGTAAGGAGAACCAGACACATAAACACATGTCATGCTACCCAACTAGTGCCATCATCAATCCATGCTTTGATACCACCCACTTCCCTTTCAAATCTAACTAAAATCTCTTTCAGGAACCTAGTCAGCGTAACTTCACAGAAGTGTTAGGGCTATAGGCATTGAAGAAGTAAAGACAAAAAGAAAACCCTGAGAATAGTACAGAGAAGAAAAGCAGTGCTATGTTGCTCTGCTTTGTTATGAGAAATATATGAAGAACATGAGTACAAGGTGTGTAAAGAGATACTGTACACTTCACTGGGTTATGGAAATATGACAACTGTTTTCACAAGACAGGTTGGTAGGCAGCGTAATAAATGAAGGGCGCTAGCTGAATTGTGGGACAATGAAAGTAAATGAAGAGAAGGAATAATTGAATCAAAAACAATAATAATGCAAATAAGTTTATCTTCTGGCTAAAGACTAGGGACTCACTCAGACAAGGTTCCAGATACTGATGTTAGTTAGCAGTGTTAGGTGGGGTAGAGCCTGTCTCTTGGATGAAAAGAAAGGGGTTTCTGCTATAATAGCAAGTATAAACAGGATAAAGTGATGGTAGTATTTGAGTCTTTTCACTGCTACAGGGTTTTAACAGTTTTAAAAAAAGCAATCTGGCACTCGAATCCTTTGATGAGAGTAAGTTTTGTTACTTATTAGTGACCACCTCAGTCACAAATTATCACCTGTAAAATGATCTTCCAGTCCATTCACTTCTACACCCTTAAAATGGATCTGAAGAACCCTCACAAAAGACCCAGTTACAGAGAGAATCCACTATCTCTAGTGTTCATTCAAACTGCCCATTTGACCTACTGATCTATTCATCTTAATTCTTGACTTGGTTTACTTCTCTTGGTACTCATGGACAGGATCTGGCTCTTGCTATCTGGATCCACACATAGGAACTGTGAACAAAAGGTCTGGGCCCAGGCAACCCACACCCACTAGACTAGCTTACCTGCTTATCCTATCAGAGGAAGGGAAGTAGCACCACCACCTCATTGCTGTGCAGGGAGGTTTGACTGAGGTAACAGACGATAAAGCACTTGGGTCACTATAAAATCCTTTGTATACAAACAGAACTCTTTCAGTCTGGTGTCACTCATATTTCTCTTCATCACCTAGGTACGTTTTTGCACTATATTACCATATTTCTCACATAATTCTGTTTTTTAAGATAATTTTTTTTAAACCACTAAAAAAAGTGAGTTAGGCAATAATGGAAGAAAAAATTCATGTGAATAAATTGGTAACAATATTCTGGAGATTTTTTTAAAAGTTGGAAGGGATCCTGAAAATGCCTAGTCCAGTCCATATTTTTGTTAAGAGATGAAAAGTGATTTTGTCTAAGGTCACACAATTAGTGTGTGGTATAACGAGAACTAGAACTGTGTTTTCCAATTCCCAGGCTAATGCTTATTCCACACTTCCATATGACCATCCTTAGAAGGACATGGGGAGAACTCAACCACTGTCACTGACAACAATAATAATGCATGACAAGCAATATAGATGAAGAAGCGACATAGGTTTGTAATAAAAAAAGTTTTAGGTTCAATTCGTTCTACCATAAACCAGCTGTATTATCTTAGACAAGCTATTTAATTGACTTCTGTCTCAGTTTTCGCTTTCCTCATCTGTGTGTGTGGTTTTTGTTTTTTTTTAAATCTTGAAAAAAAAAATTTTTTTTTTAAATTGGGAATTGGGAAAGAGGAACAGTGTTGGGGAACTGGGGAAAGGGACCAGCCAAGTTGTTGTTCTTCAATCTTAGTTGTGGAGGGTGCCAGTCATCATCTGGCTGCCGGTGGGCAGCTCATGGCCTCTAAGCTCAAAATGCTGTGTTCAGTCTAAGTTGCGGGTGGGCATAGCCACCATCTCATGCGGGAGTCGAACCAGCAGCCTTCTTGTTAAGAGCACATGCTCTATCCACCAAGCCATCCGGATGGCAGCTCAGCCCAAGGTGCGGAGTTCAGTCTTCGTTGTGGGTGGGCACAGCCGACCATCGAATAGGCAGTCTTGTTGTTAGGAGCACGTGCTCTCACCAGCTGAGCCATCCTGACATCTGTTGGCAGCTCAGTGGCAGCTCAGCTCGGGCGCAACATCACTGGCCCATGTGGGAATCAAACTGGTGGCCCGGTTGCTCAGAGCTCGCTCTCTTAAGCTACCGTATTTGCCGGCGTATAAGACGACTGGGCGTATAAGACGACCCCCTAACATTTCCACTCAAAATACAGAGTTTGTTATATACTCGCCGTATAAGACTACCCCCTCTTCCGCACACCTTCCACACACCAAATAAAAGGTAAAACAATATCAGATTTGATTTCAACATTTATATTTATATTCAAATGCTTATGACATGCAGGAAAACTGTCACAAGGCTGTATGTAATCAAACATATACATAAATCGCGATTCGCGATTTTGCGCTATCATACTGGGTGTATGGTCGGCTGTGTGCGATTTTGCGAGTGTGGTAAAATCGCATAACAGCAAAATCGCATAACAGCCGAGCATACACCCAGCAGCGCTGCTGATGCCTGAACGGTATGTGGAATGAAGTGGGCGGGCATCGGGAGGCCACTATGGCACGGGGCAAGCACTATGGGCAGTCTATCTGAAGTGTACCTGGCGTATAAGACGACCCCCCACTTGGAGGCATATTTTTCAGGGCCAAAAAATCATCTTATACGCCGGCAAATACGGTAACTCTTAACCAACTGAGCCACTCGACGGGCCCTGTGTGTGTGTTTTAATTTAAGGAATAAATGATTAATATATGTAAAATGCTGAGTAGAGTTCTTGGCACATGATTTAATTCCCAATAAATGTGAGCTACTATTAGTTACATACTATTTTCAAGTTTAATGCTTTTACATTCATTATCCCATTTGACTATCCATTAATTCCCTTCTGTAACAAAGGCAGTTGTTTTGTAGTTACCATGTTAACTGAAACGCATGCATATCAGAACCATCTCCTTGCTATAGATCAGTTTTACAGATGGGGAAACTGAGGCTCAGACAAGTTTTAAGAAACTCATCAACTGTCACATAGGTAGGAGGAGGTAGCTGGGGAAGACCTGAGAAAAGTCAACATTTTTCTTTGCATATGGGATTTGATAAAAATAATTTAATCATAGTAGAACTCCTAACGTATTTACTTCACCCAACAGGATGAAATATACCTTCTCAAATGCTCTAAACAAACCTACAGAGCAGCTTCTTTTGCTATCGATAATTTAAACATACAGCCAGGAAGTAAATATGAAAAAATTTAAATGCCCTAATTCTTCCTTAGTGATGAGGAAAGTAAAACAATGTATTTTAATAAAAGAGTATATTAAAGTACTTTGGTGCTGTTTTTAAGGGTAAATAAGTATCTTTAATGTTTGTGCTGGAAATACTCACACCAAGTGAGAAATAATGCATTATTTATTCATTGAAGCAGTATTTTTAACAGTAAAATATTGAAAACAACTTAAATACTGATCAACAGAGGGTGTTTAAGTTATGGCATATCCGTACAACAGAATATTATGTAGCCATAAGGGACTAAGGAAGTTCTTTATGTTCCAATATGAAAAGAATTCCTAAAATATAACATTAAAGAAAAGGTGCAGAACACCGTATATGGTCTGCTAATGCTTGGATAAAAATGGGGGTAGGGCAAAAAATATAATAACAAACATATTTGCTTCTATATACATAAAACAGCCAGGGTATAAAAGAAACTTTCAATATTGTTTGCCTACAAAAATGGGACTTTGCAATTTTGAACCACATGAAATTATGTTTAGTTCAAAAACTTAATAAACAAAACAAAGCAAAATGAAAAAATTTAAATCCAATGTCATTATGCTGTATAACAGAATTACTTGAATGTATAGGAGAGTTAGAATCACATATTTTACTTCTCAAACTACCTTTCAGAGAAGCAGCTCAATACTGATGGATCAAACTAGAGAACGAAAGCAAAGATAGTCTCAAAATCTGTTAGAAAAGCAGCTCTAATTTTGGATGGCAGGAACATAAATGTTTATTATACTACCCTTTAACTTTCCTGCATTAGAAAGATTTGAAACAAATAGAAAAAAGATAACACCAAAAGAATATCAATAAAAGAAATGGTTAAAAAGGACTACATCAAAATCAAAATTTTGTGCTGTATATGATATTATTTAGAAAGCGAAAGGACAACCCATAGAATGGGAAACAATATTTACAAATCACAGATCTGTAAAGGTCTTCTTGTATCACTAATATATAAAGAAGTCTTACAACCCAATAAAAGTTTCAAAATGAGCAAAGGGTTAAAACAGATATTTGTCCAAAGAAGACACAGAAATGGACAACAAGCACATGAAAGTGATACCACACTATACCCGCTAGGATGGCTAGAATGAAAATAAAGGAAAATAACAAGTGCTGGTGAGGGTGCAGAGAACTGGAACACTCAGACACTTACGGTGAGACTATAAAATGGTGAAGCAGCTGTTGAAGAGTCTGGCAGTTCTTAAAAAAATTAAAACATACAGTTTGCCATATCACTCAGCAATTCCACTTTTAGGTATATACCCCAAAGAAATGAAAACATGTCAATATAAACACGTGTACACAAAGGTTCACAGCAGCATTATCCATAATAGTCAAAGAGTGGAAACACCCTAAATGCCCATCAGCTGCTGAATGGATAAATAAAATGTGGTATAGCCATACAACGGAGTTATTATACAGCCATAAAAGGAATAAAGTACTGATATATCCATAACATGGATGAAACTTGAAAATACAGGTCAAAGAAGCCAGTCATAAAAATCACATGTAATTAAATTTACATGAAATATCCAGAATGGGGAAATTGATAGAGACAGAAAGTACATGGGGAGTGCTTAGTACTGGGGGCTGAAGAGGGAATTGAGGAGTGAATGCTAATGAGTATGGAATTTCTTTTAGGGGGAATGAAAATGTTCTAAAATTACATTGTGGTGATGGTTGCACAACTCTGTGACTATATGAAGAAACACTGAATTGTACATTTCAAATAGGTGAAATGCATGGCATATGAATTATATCTTGACGAAGAAAGAAAAATGTCAATAGTTGAAAGAACATAATCTGAGCATGGAGTTCTGAGTTGTGCTCTCAGCTATGTTACTGACTTATCTTGCATCAGGACAGTCATAGCAACTCTGGGCTAGCTTCCTCACTGATAAAATAAAGTAGAAAAGATTCACTTCAAAATTCCTTCTGCCTCTAAGATTCTATGGTACTGTAAGAGTCAGATGAGTAATTAAGGATTCAAAAATTCTTTCACAGCCAGAATATCTAAGGAACAGAAAACCAGTCTCTCTCTTACTTCCATCTGTAATTTTACTGGAGGCGAGTCGAACGACCTCAGTTATCAAGGTTGTCTTTCCCGATCCACTTTTGGAAAAGCCCACAGGAAAGTGATATTCCACAAAGAAGGTGCTAAAAAAATCAAAACAAAACAAAACAAAAGGATTAAAAAACAAACCAAATAATAAACCTATTTTTTCTGTCTGATAAATCCTACATTGTCTCTCAAGGTTCTATTTTCAGGACCTCAGGTCCTCAGAGGAACTACCTCCTCTCTTCAAAGCCTCATCAATCCTGCCAGGCAGAATTAAAGGTTCCCTTCCTTGTACTCCCACAGCACTTTTAATATAAAACTTCTATTTTGGCCCCTCTTCTGCTGACGGTAAGGTATATAAAAACAGAGTTTAATTCTTAACTTTATTCTCGCACATACATAGCATAGTGCTTGGGACCTAGCGGGGGATTCAAAACATTTTTGTTGACTGATTGATGCATATGAAAGCCCTTTATAAACCACAAAGTGCTATACAATTATTTATTTACTATTATCAGATACTTTCCATCAATGTCAGGTTTAATTTTAGTTATGTCATAGACACACCGCTTTTTTGTTGCCGCCAGCTTAGGTGGTCTCCCGGGAAAGATTTTTTTGCCAGGGGTCATCTGAGGGCTATCTGGAGGAACTCCCATCGTTTCGATGATGATTCTGACGGAATGGGTTCTACCCAGCAGGGCCAGTCTGTCTATACTCAGTGTCATCGCCTGGGCATCTTCTGGAGTTTCTGATACTGCCTGTTGTTCAGCCAAATTTCTGAAAGGAATTCACATAGACAGTGAGGCAGACAGAGGCCTACAATGAAATGATCTAGATTGCACAGGCAAGAGAAGAAAAGAGAAAGCGCAGCAAGCATCTTAGTTACTGAGGACTGGAAAATGGCTTTAATCAGAATCCTGGTGCTAATCTACAGTGGAAGAAATTTCAACAAATGTAAAGACATTCTTGTTATCTAAAGGCTTATCTCCACACAAGTACGCAAACTGATGTTACAGAATTAGTTTTTCTACAAGGGATACAGACTTTACTTTAGTTATCCACTACTTTAATGGAACTACTATTGGTACTGTTGTGTATTCTGTTTCGTTTGCTTTCCTTATGCATATTTTCTACGTAAGTATAATACAGCGTACACACCACCTAGAATTCTGCTTTCTCCATGAACCATTTTATCATATCTATCATTTCATGTTGTTACGCTGTTGAGAACTGCACTACAGTAACTCACTGAACCAGTCTGACAGTGTTAGGCAAACCCAGGTCATTTCACCTTAGGAGATATCTTATGAAAACAATCATTCTTTGCTTTTGCCTCTAAACAAGCATTCGTAGAGAGGCTCACCTATTTTTCTTGTCCACTGCTCTCTTCTTCAACTTAGGATCATTTGACTCCAGAACCTTAGATCTGGCAAGAGCTTTCGACTGGTTCATTTTCTTAGAAGGGACAATATCATCATTTTCACTGAAGAAATCACTAATGCTGGTATCCGATTTCTACAGGGGGAAAGAAACAAAAAGAGAGGCCTTAAAATATAGCTGCTTTGGGGATAGTGGTAATAAACATATTTCTCTAAAAGTAATCCAATTCTCTGCATATATATCATTTTCTTAAAGAGATAACTAACAGCAGGGAGATAATCCCATGTTTATCCTCGTTCTACAAAAATATAATCGACTCTTGAACAATACAGGTTAGGGGCACTGACCAACCCCTGACCCCTCCAACACACACATGGTTGAAAATACACGTTAGCTTCTCACTCTCCAAAAACTTAACTACAGCTGGCCCTTCACACCCATGGATTTAATCAACTGTAAATTGGAAAAAGTATTTTTGGATCCACGAATGGGAATCCATAGTTGGAAATGCAAAAATACTGTTTTCAGTCCATGGTTATTGAATCCACAGATGTGGAACCCACAGATATGGAGAGCTGGCTGTGTTTACTGAAAATAATCCACATATAGGTGGGATCGTGTAGGTGGATCTGCGCAGTTCAAACCTTTTTTAAGGGTCAACTGTAATCTGAAGTTCACAAAAATAACCTACAAGTGCAGTTTAAAGAAAATAAATGAAAATAGATTCTTCTTTCAAATTCTCAATAATAATAACCACTATTTATTGACTGCCTATTATGTATCTGATAATGTGTTAAATGCTGCACGGTGTTATTTCTAACACCACATTTTTGTGTGGTGTCTTTATCTCAGTTTTTACAAGTGAGAAAATGAAAGCTGAGAGAAGTTAGGCAGCTTGTTTACGATTCACAGCTGTATGTAGGAAAGGCAGACTTTTTTTTTGCTTTTGTTTGCTTGTTTGTTTGTTTGTTTTAGCTGAGCCATCCTGCCGCCTGTTGGCAGCTCAGCGGCATCTCGGCCAGGAATTGAACTGCTGTTGCTCAGAGCTCAAACTCTTGAGCGAGCTCTTAACCAACTGAGCCACTTGGCTGGCCTTAAGAAAGGCAGACTTTGATCTCTGTATGTTCTAAAGCTTGTATTTCTACCACAGTTTGAGGCAAAATGACTGGTAAAATGTCACCTAACTATATGGATACAGAGACTCTGCTTTTTTTTTTTTTACCACTCCATACAACTAATGATTCATTTTACTTTGAATCTCATTAAGATGAACTGTTTCTATAAGTCACAAATTTCTTTAATGGCAAAACCAGTGGACAAGCCCCTTGTAATTAATTTTTATTTTGAGAAAAGGCAGGTATCACAATTGACTGATCAGCTCTTTCTACCACAAAATGTAAAATAGAGAAGATGGCATTATAGTTATTTGACTAGTTATATAGTTAAAAAAAAAGCTCGTTAATATAAAATGCAGGAGGCCAATCCAGTCATCCAACTCCCTTTTTTCAGCATCTCAGGGTGTATAATGTTGTTGACCTGTGATAAGGGTAACAAATTAATAGTTTGATAAGCATGATCAGAATATCCTTCTAGGAAGCAACAACTTTTTCAAGGTGAAATTACAAAGCTTTTTGCTCTTCGATTTTTCTTTATTAAGTGGCAGCTTTTAAAAATGCTTGCTGACAGCGTGAGTGGCCAGCAGCCGCCATGAGCAGCTGTCCAGAAGCCGGCGACTGATCTGCCTCAACTGGGAAGAGCGCAATGATGGTGCCAACTTGGGCCAGNGACAGCAACTTGTCTGTTCCCCTTCCCCCAATTCCCCAGCGCTGTTCCCATCCCCCAATTCCCCAATTAAAAAAAAAATGCTTGCTGACTATGCAATCAAAATCTAGATGGGTCCACGGCCTGAAGGAAAGTACAATAAACATAAAAGAGGCTATCCAAAACTAAGCATTTCAGGAACCCAAAACGTTATAAAATGATTAGAAAATCATTCTGAATTTCTAAACTGTCGATGTTATTCAATATTAAGAACATAAAAACCCACTCTGGGGAAGGACATGAGCATCTAATTCCTTGGTCTGCCCATTGTCTCATGGTCAGTTTTTCACTCATTCTTCCAGTCAACAAACATTTTCTAAAACTACTTTGTTCACATAGCATGGGGGATTACTTTGTTCCATTCATACATTTATTCATTTATGCACTAAGTATTCACTGAGTACTCAATACTTATCAGGACTTTGTTGTACTGATAACAAAAAGATAATAAAGATATGTTTGTGTTTAGAGGAACTGTATCATATGTGGTAAGGGCTATAACAGACGTATGTGCAAGATATTGTGGACATTCAGGCAACAAAATCTGCTGGAGGGAATCTGGGATGGTTTCTTCACATGGAAGTGGTGAATTGATTTTTAAAGAAGGAAGAGAAGGTTAGCAGACATATAAGGGCACTTCAACATTCTAAGTAGAAGGATCAGTATGAAAAAAAAATATGGAGACAGAAAATGAGCTAGAATGTTTAAGAAGAGGTGTGACAATTAGCATGACAAGAGCCTCCAGTGGGTCCAGAGCAAACCTGGGAGATGAGGTGAGGGAGGTTAAGTCAGGATCAGATTCTAATGTCATGCTCAAGGTTGATGAGATGGTGTGGTGGTCTAAGGGAGAAAAACACAGGCCTTTTGTCTGACAGGCTAGGGTAAGAATTCTAGTTCTGCCACGTAATGACTAGTATTTAACATCTCTAAGCTTTTATTTCATGGTATGTAAAAAAGACAACACTAGCTCATGGGACTACAGTACTCAATAAATAAATAACAGAAATTCCCTGGCAAACAGAAAATGTGTAATAAATCTAAGCTCCCTTGCCTTTTTATCCTACAGGTAACATGGTGTCAGTGATGATTTTTAAGGTAGGAAGTCATGAAATCCTAACAATTCATGATGTCTTTTAAATTCAATCTCCTTCTTTCCAATCCCATTGGTGCCATGGTCATTCAGGCTCTCCCTCTCTCTCATACCTCCCTGCAGTAGCCCAGTGGCTTCCTATCTGCTTCTGGTTATTCTCTCCCGTGGGCCCTACATCATTTCCAGGTTAACATTCCTAAAACACTATTTTGATCACGTCATTTCCTGCTCACTTGACATTCACAGGCTTTCAAAGACTGGTTGCAATGTAATAGCCTGCCTTATTGACGACTTCTTTGCCACACAAATTCTCATCCAGTCAAATTAGAGACCTTGCAGAGCACGGACTGCTTCTCCAGTAGGTCACTCTTTCTAGTCCCTTTGCATATCCTTTCTCTATCTCTCTAAACCGTCTTTCAAGTCTCAGTTAAAACCCCTTATTACTCATGATGCTCTTTCCTGACAATCTCATGTAAAAGTGTGCCCTGCCTCCTCTGCACCCTGGTAGCTGTCATTGTCTTACCACTCAGCTGGTATAAGCCACCTTGCCTAAAGAACAAAACCAACAAACAAAAATAAACCACCTTGCATTTCTGTTATCTTTTCTGACCTGGAGGAAAGGAAAATCAGGACTATGACAGCAATGTTCACAAATACAAATGATTACTTGTGGAACAGGGATTGAACTTACATAGACCCTAGGAGATGTTAAACCAATTAACAGAACATATGGTTTGATATAAGAAAGAACTTTGAAAATGCTAGAACTGCCTAAAAAGAGAATGCCTTATCTTAAGGGTCGGTAGAGGTATTTGTCACCTCTGAGTAGATGTGTTTCTGGAATATTTTGAAAAGATACCGGTCAAGGTGGTTCTGAGGGTATGACTGCATTAGCTCTTCCTTAGAAGAGCTCTAAAGAAGCCATGTAATATATTAAGACCATTAGGCTTTGGACTCAGGTAAACTTGAATTTGAATCCTGGCTCTAACACTTATTATGTGTCCTTGGACAAAATACTTAATGTTTACTAAGCCTGTCTCCTCATCTATAAAATGAGGATAATCCTTTCCTCTTCAGGGTGTCATTATATAATTAAACAAGGTATGTAAAATGGATAGCTCTCTTATCTGGCAAGTGGTAACATGCTGTCACCTACTAATATTATTAATACTCCTGTTCTCTAATTCCCAAAGCTTCAGATTCAATGACTTACAGGTGCTGTGTAAAATAAATTCTCCAGGAGACTCTGGTCATACTGAGGGTCATTCAGCTCACTGCTGCAATACACATCACTCCCAGGAGATGGAGAAGCTGGAGGAGAGCCTAGCCCATCCCAGTAATGACCTTGGGATAATTCAGCACTGCAGAGATAAAAAGAACAAAGCAGAAGGACTTTAAAGTGGTTTCAGCTGAGCTTTTCTTATTTTTTAGTGAAAACTTTCTAAAGTTGTAAACCTGGAAGAAAATATGTTACACGGAAGACTCACATTAAAGAGAAAACTAACTATCTGATAAATATTTTCATATCATATTCCTCCTCCTCTGGGATGCCAACAGCTAGTATTAAAAAAATACACTACTGACACTGATTGTGATCTCATTCATTCATTTAACAAACATTTGACTGGGCACCTATTATGTGCCAGGCATGGTGTTAGGTCCTGAAGGAAACAGAGATGGCTTAGCTAACTAGCTCTACTCTTGTGTTGCTTCTGGTCTAACAGGGAGAAAAAAAAGAAAGAATTAACTATAATTCAATGAGTTAAAATGTTATATGTTGTATTTCTGAAGAATGGCTAATCCATAAATATGCTTTCTTCCATTAAGCAAAAATATGTGTATTTATGGTTAATTACAGCAAGATTAGTTGTATGTGAGATAGAGAAGTGAATAAAACAGACCCTAGTTACACAGTTTATAAACTAATAAGGAAGATAAACATACAAGTATGTGCATATTTCATTTGTTTTTGTTTCTCCTAGTTAACTAGCACTTAATGAACATCGGTTAATCAACTTATTGAATTCTTAATAAACACAGTAATAAAGAAAGCAATATTTATTAAATACTTAATATGTGCCAGGCACTGTGCTAAGCATTCAATTATTCTTTCAACTTTGCTTCCCTTTCAAGCTAGCTGCTATACTTTTTTTCTCTTCTTTAATTTCTCAAGAAAATAGCACACAAGAACTACCTTCAAATTAGATCATGTTCTTACATTTTTTAGAACAAAGAGATGCTCAATGTTCCTTTCCTCACCGTTCCCTAATCTACAGCAGCGTTTCTCAATCTCAGCAGTACCGACATGTTGGGTCAGATAATTCTGTTATTGGGAGCTATCCTGTGCATTCTGGATCCCTGGACTCTACTCACCAGATGCCAGCAGCACTCCCTCACTTCTGACAACCTGAAATGTCTTCAGACATTACCAAATGCCCCACGCAGTAGGGGATAGGGGAGAACTGCCCCCAAGTTGAGAACCACACTGCTCTATAGTGAAACCTCTCTAAGGTCAGAATGAATTCCTAACTGCCAAAACCCAACTAGCAACTTCCCCATGGCTTCTCTGCAGCTTCTGAGCACTGTGCCTTTTTGAAGCTCTATTTCTTGGTATTCTATACAACTCTCATTTGCCACTTAAGGTCCGCTGCCCACGACTCAGCTGCTTGCTGTTTTCTCCCCCCATGCACACCCTTAAAGTTACCAAGATTACCACTGTTCAGTATTTAGTCCTCTACTTTTTACCTTGTTTTCAAATTGACATCTCTTTGAATTTATTCTATTGTCTATGGCACATTAAAAGGGCATGCCATTTCCCTCCATGCATTATTTGGGGAAAACTTATACCAGAACTTGGAAGAGGTCAGAGCTATTCTGCTGAGGCTAGAGGCCTGGAGTTCCTGTGCAACCAGAAGGGCAGAAGGCATGAGAGCCGGGGGCGGTGGGGGTGGTGGGGGAGGAGGAGGGGGGTGTTCTATTCTTTGGCTACAAGACAAGCCCACTCTGTGCACTTTCCTCTTGCTTTTCTCCTCAAACATTTTTCAATCAAAGAATACATGTACCTACTTTAAAAGTAAAATAGGACTCTAAGACATAATAAAAAATAGTCGCTGCCTGCCTCCTTAGAGATAACCACTTTCAACTCCCTTCTGGTATTTACCTTCATATTTCTAAGTAACACATGTGTACTGCTATTTTCTTATTTTTCACTTTTCTAAATAATTGATGGACTTTCTATTATGAGAAATGAAGAATCCACTCTCTTATACCACTGCTCTTAGACACAGATTTCCCTTTTACCATAATCTCAATTTAGTTATAATTTTTTGTTGTCAATCTTTAGGGTTAACATTAATATCAGACGCAAGTATAATTTTTTACACTTTCTTATACAACTTCTAGTTTTCCTCATTTTAATAACCGCCTGAATTTTCATCTACTTAGTTTTCCATGTGCCTATTACTATTTCATTATTTAACTCTCCAAGAGAAATAAAATTTCCTCTTAATTTGGTCAAACACAAGGAAAATGTGTCTCCATCCATCTCTCCTTCCTTAGAAATATCCCTGTCCAGCTCCTGTAAGGAGTGTTTGTTCTCTAGATATGACACAGATCCTAAACCTCCTTTCTCTTTCTTCTGTGTTACATCCCCTACTTCCTGGACTCCATGTCTCACACTTTCTTCTTTTACGCTCTTTGTGATAGAAAATATTCTGTGCTTTCCTGAGGAATAGTGCGAGAGGTAAACTTCTGAGACCCTGGATGCATGAAGATATTTTTACTTTACCCTCACACTTGCTTGATAGTTTGGGAATGGAATTGGAGGTTGAAAATTTAGAATTTTCAAAATTCTGATAGCATTTCTCCATTGTCATCCATGGAGCAGGTAGAAAAGTCTTTTTTTGTTTCCAGCTTTATTAACGTATAATTGAAAAATAAAATTATAAACTATTAAACATGTACAATGTGATGATTTTATATATGTATACACTATAAAAGGATTCTTGCCATTGAATTAAAACATTGATCACCTCATATATTTCCTTTATTTTTGGCTTAACTTAGCATGATGTTTTCAAGGTTCATCCATACTACAACATGCTATAAGTCCTTTACTTCTTTTATGGCCAAATAATACACAATTTTATGGATATACCACTTTCTTTTAACCCATATATCAGCTGATTGACATTTTTTACTATTATGAATAATGTTGCTATGGAAATTCATGTACATGTTTTTGTGTGACCTTATGTTTTCACTTCCCTTGGGTTTATACCTAGGAGTTGAATTGCTGGGTCATATGGTAATTCTATGTTTAACAGTTTGAGAAACTGACAGACTATCTTGCCAAGTGGCTGTATCATTTTGCACTGCTACCAGCAGTGTATGAGGGTTCCAAATTCTCCACATTCTCACCAACACTTACTTTCTGACTTTTTGGTCCTAGCCACCTTAGTGGGTATAAATTTCATTATTTAAAAAAACAAAACAAAATATATATTTAACTTTATTTATTATCATAATTTAAAGCTTGGTTTTATAATACACAAAAAGACACTTTTAAGAGTTTTGTATCACCAGGATTTAAATAGTAGAAATACCAATAGCTTTGTTAGTGTAAGTTACATAAATTAAAATCAAATAATTAGAGATTTTTTTCAATATGGAAACTATACAAATGAAATAAATGACAAAAGGACCTAATAGCAATATTTTTTTATTTATGGATTATCAGTTACTTTAGTATCTAAAGAAAGATGATGAATATTCTGACTTCTTTTGCTGTGTTTCATATTTAAATATTTCCCTACCTATATTCTGAGTCAAGCTACTTGACCAAAAGGTCTGACTTAGGAAGGCATTCAGCTTTATAGGAAAAGTTGTTCCATTTACAGTTACCACCTTCAAAGGAATTGACATTAAGTGCTGATGTAATCTGCTAGTTTTCTTTTGAACAGTGTGTAAAAAATTATGTTAACCCTATGGAAAGTCAAACAGGTACCAAAAAACTCTGACAATTATGTACAGTTCAGTAAAGTATGTTAAGTTTCCCCATCTAAAAATTAACCAATGAAATAAAACATATGAACTACAGTTGACTTGGTTTCAGGAAACGTACATTTGAGAATTACATTATTGTTCTCATCTCATCTTCAGTCACTGTCAGGGATTTTGGAGGCCACCATGCAGTTTACTTTGTGGACTGTAGCAGCGAATGAACGAAGATGGACTTGCTCAGAGTTGGTAATGGACTGAGGTCCCGACTCTTCCCATTTTTCAGGTACAACCAAATCTTTGTATAAATCAGTAGATCAAATGAATAAGAAACTTCCAACAGTGGCAGGAATGTCACTGTAGCTGTGATCTGTCTGATCACTGAACAGATTTCACCTTGGATAGTTTTCTGAGACTTTTCTCTGGGTGTACTGTCCTCTTTGGCAATCTTCTCACACTCAATATCAAGTTGCCATCTTTCAAGGACGTCGCCACTTTCAGTATTTGAGATAAATACCACCAGTTTCTGAAATGAACGTTTGTATAACCAATCTTTTATTTGTTCCACCACATTATTTAGGTATTCATCAGCTCAGGATCAGTAGTTACAAGCAAGGTGAGTCCATATTTCTGCACCTGAGTAAAATAAAGGTTTCAGATGGATATATGCCATGCTGATAAAAAATGCTGTTGATGCCAAATGACGAGAACTCTGCCAGGATTTCGGTGTTCCTGTGCAGGGTGATGCCTTGTTCCCAAGAGAATTACAGCGCCATGGCCAGGCCCACTGAGGTGGCGTGCGCCTACTCGTAGATGGCCACCGCAGAGCTCCACAGAAGCTCCCCACCACTTTCATCATGGTTTTGATTTGCATTTCTCTGATAATCAATGGTGTTGATATCTTTCATGTGCAGATTAGCCATTTGACTATTTTCTTTGGAAAAGTATCTATTTAGATCCTTTGTGCATATATGTACATAAATAAATATATATATATAAATATATTTTTATATATATATATTTTTAAAAGATTTTTATTGGGGAATTG